TAGTGGCCACTAATTTTTAAACCCCTCAAGCGGCCATTAATTTGACTACTACAGTGGCCACTAAAACGTCAAAACCCTATAGTGGCCACTAAAAATTTTACCAGTAGGTTTCCGATATTTGACCTTTGCCGAGCTTTTGAAAAATCTTCGAAAAAAAATGACTTTCTTCTAATGCCGTGTTCAAAGTAATTTTGCGAAAGGCAAAATGATCTCTGACTCTCCAAAATCTAGTTATATTTTTCTTTCTCTGACGGCTATTTTGCATTTCGCGAAATTACTTTGAACACGGCAAAATGCTCCTAAATAACAGTTTAACTCATTTTAAAAGGTTTTTTTCTGAAGCATAAACGAAAATTTGTTAAAAGGTTTAGTGTTCTTCTTTATTTTATCAATCTCTCCTTTTGTTATAATTTTTCTATTTATCTGTAATGAAGAACCAACCGCCAGATGCTCCAAAACATGAGCCGATGACTCGTAGGCGCCCAAAATAACGCAAGCTGTCAGAGTTTGGATCAGAAGCACATTCTCAGTTCTCCGATTTTGTGAACCCGATCGATAGGAAATTTCATTAGAACCTGAATGTTGAGCGAATTTCATACCTAGGTGAAGTTTGAAAGGCTTTGAGGCGTTCATAGATTATTAATAGCTTTTTAAATTGTTCCTGAATGATACGGAAAGCCTAGCTTTTTCGAGGAGTGAGACCTGTTATTTTTACACTTTTTAAAAAAGGTCATGAAAAATTTCTAGAAAAGCCTTTCTAAGCTCATTTTTTTGTACTTCATTTTGTAAGCAATTTCTCCAACCTCTACACAGAAAAGGTTGCAGAAATTCGAAAACCGCAGTACGACGAATTTTCAAGTAAAAAACCAAAATAACGTTGGCTAGAGCCGAAAATAGTAGGGACGATAGCATAAGAATACGTAGAATCGTGGTCGTCTGAAAATTTCCTTTCCTTGAATTTCCAGAAAAATGCATTTATCGTGCCGTAATGTTCAACGGGTCCTTTGAGTGTTGGAAAAAGAGGCATGGAGCTTAGGAAATTTCAGAGTGGTCCCTGTAGGGGCAGCCATGGGGGTCTTTAGAGGGTGTCTTCTAGGGACCACTTTAACAAGCGCTATAGGGGCTGCTTTTCCCCCAGTAAGGGCCACTTAAGTTTTGCCCCTATTTGGACCACTTCCCCCTCTATGGGGTCTATTTTTCCCTTAACCTTAATATACACCACTCTGGAGTATCTAAGAAGAACGATTGACCAAAAAGTGATCAACTAACCTGAGGGAGGGGGGTTTAACCTCAGTTTTTAGCCTAGTTTTTTTCGTGTTTGAATACGAAACTTGAACTTTTGATTTTTTTAAATATTAAAATAGCTGTATCTTTATTTTTTTACTAGAAAGAAAAACGAACCACGGTATATCCTTCTTTCGTCTGAACGAAACTGAACTTTCTGATATCGAATACCACTGGCGTACCGTTGATAACAGGTTGAATTGCAAAAACAACCACTACCAACTTTAAATTTAAAAAAAATCAATTAAACAATCAAAAAAGGTTCAAACCGCAATTATAAGGTTGTAGAGCCACAGACGCCGAATTTCGAACAAATAACTTTTTGAGTTGAAAAAAATCAAGCAAATTCGATTCATGGTTATGAGAGGAGTTAGGAAAATCCGATGCGCGTAAGCGATCAGACCAATCGTACTGGTTATTACACCGGTTCGCTCGAAAATTACTGAAAAAAACTGAAATAGGCGTTTAATTATAAGGAAAGAGCAAATATGACCTTTTGAGAATTTGATAAAATTTTGCTGGCTAAGGAACTTTTTAATGAAAAAAAACTTCAATTTTCCTCAAAATAGCCCTTTTTGTCAAAATGTGCGTGTTATACGAACTTTGAAGCTTCATAACTTGAAAATAAGAGCTATTTTGGGAAATTTTTTGCTTGTTCTGGAATCAGGAGGCTCTAAAGTACGTTTTAGCAAAGTTTCATCAAAAGTTCAATCGAGAGGAGGGTAAAAGTCTTTCCTCAGTAAGAGGTATTTTTGACCAGACTCAAATAAAATTGCGCGTCCTGCTTTTTGATAGGGAACCCCTCGAAATTAAAAAATCGATATTTCATTCAAAAAAAAAAGTTGATTTTGAGGGGTTAAAAGGGAAAAAGCGCACCTTTTTTCTACTTATTTGGAATCAGGGTGTCTTATAGTACCTATTAGCCAAGTTTTATAGAATTCTGTACTGAACATTTTTTTCATGTCTCTTGTTATAAGATTTACCTTGTGCAACTTCTTCGGGCAATAAATTCGGCTGACAAAATTGAAAATAACTGGTAATGTTGTAAATAAGTTCGTGCGTCGTCATGATATAAATGTAGGTAGTTGTTAGGGTTTCTGAACGCTCTTGGCTTTTGAGAATTTTTTTCAATATTTCGAAACTTCTAAAGTAATAAAGTCAACAAACTTTTGACGTTGTTCTTCTGGATGACTTTTAAAGTGAAGATATTGAAAGTTATACTAAATATATGAATGATTAAAAGTCGCTATACCAACCCAGAACTCGAAAGAAATTCCGGACATTTTGAGTATTTGAATGAAGTAATTTTCATAAAAAGCTCTGGAATTAATATGATCGAATTTAGAAGCGATATTTCGCAATGAAAAAAATAAGGGTTTTTCGAAATAGAATAAGCTCCAAAAGTTATTGTAAAATTCATTCTTACCGTTAAACTTTGAAAAAGTTCCTCGAATTTGTTCAAAAATCGGCTCAAATACAATTTTTTTCCTATAGAAAAAAACAGCCGAACCAAACTTTTTTTGTTTGAAAGTTGCAATAAAAAAATTATATGATTTTTTTGGGTTGAATAGAACTTATCCTCGATTGGTGCAGATATCCGTGAACAAAATAAAAAAAATATAATTGAGAAAAAATTTCGAGGTCACTGGAAATTTAAGTAAAAAAAAAGAAAGCTGAAATAAAAGGTTGCATGAAAACAGTAGTTATTGAGAACAAAAGAAATAAAAATTTTGAAAAAATTCGTAAATCGGACAGGAGTTTTTAATTGGAGCGCACTTGCACGCGATGAAAGAACCTATGCCGTGTTCAAAGTTTATGCAAAATTTTTCTCTAACTCTCCAAATTTTATTTATATTTTTTTCTTCGTCTGATGGCTATTTTGGATCTCGCGGAGTCGCGCTAGAATTTCACCCGTTTCGAAGATTTTTTTGGGGGCGAAAAATTGGCTAATTGAAAAAAAAATTTTAACTTTTTCGATTTTTTAAAAAAAGAATACTAATATATTTATTTGAGAATGAGCTCAAACTTTCAAGCTTTTCTAGCTTCTCTGTACCTTCTCGTCTTCAAGGGATATTTCATGCCAGAGAGAGAGATAGAAAAGAGAGCGCAGGCAGTTCAGATTTTCTCAAGTGAACTCTCCTAACTAGGAAACTTTCTTTACCCCGCAAATTATGACAAAAAAAAGCGTTATTTCAAGCTTTTAAAGCTTCTCAACTTGAAAAAATATTGCGAGAAAACCTTTCCTAGTGAAAAAAGTTGGGTTTGATTTTCCTAGGATTGTAATAGGGTAGGGAAACTTTTTTCAAGTTGCTTTCTATAAAATTGAAAAGGAAAAATAGAAAACCGGAAGTTTTTTCAATTTTTGATGGTTTGTTCGTTCCAGGTGGAGCTCATGCGTACCAGGGCCATTATCTTCTTCTCATCCATCCACTGGGCGATCACCAATTGCAGATCCAAAGTTAGTTCAATTTCTTTTGTGATAAATTAGCCTTCTTATCGGACCATTGCTCAAAAAAATTAGTTCAAAGTTCTGATTGAAAAAAAAAGATAAAGCGGTGAATAATAAAAGGTATGACTATATGCATTTTTCATGATATTCAAGTCAGGTCAAGGTGAAGCTGGCAAAAAAAAAATTAAAAATTATATTTATTAACACACATGAAAAAACAACAACAAAGACAACAAAGCAACAAAAAAATGGGGTAAAATAATGCCGTGTCCAAAGTTTTTCCGCTTAAATTCAAAATCATCTCTGACACTCCAAGATTTAGTTAACTTTTTCACTCTCTGACGACTATTTTGAATTTCGCGGAATTACTTTGAACAAAGCATAAGATTGTCATGAAGAAAAAAGAAGGAGGTTCAGGAAAAGTCATAAATTATCAAGGTCAAGAAAGTCAAATTTTTGCAAAAGGTAAAGACGCAAAAATTAAATTTTGTTTGTAAGTATCAAGGAGGTGTAAGAAATGCTCAAATAATTGGGCAAAAGTTTGGATAAGAGCGGACAAAAACAATAGTTTTATATTTGCCCTTGAAAAATAAATAGAAGCTTGAAAGGCTCACAACTTATCGAAAGTCCTGGATCATAGAGAAAAAGAAAGGACAAGGGAATATTGAGCACTATTGAATACATCAAATAATGGTTTTCAAGCCGGATTGGGAGGCTCGAAGGGCTTAAAAATTGGCGAAAATTTTAATGAGATCAATTGGAAAAAGTAATGAGTACACAGTACCATTTAAAAGATACTTAGAGAAAAAAGTTTTTTCGACAATTTTCAAGAATTTAGTTCAAAAACGCTTCGAAAAAGTAATTGCATAGGTTTAACAAGGAAGGTCATTTTACTTTGCGGTTGGCGAATTCCTGAAAATCGACCAGAAAATTCCTTTATGTGCCGAAGCTGCTATAGTTCTCAATTTGCACAACTTTCTAGTTTTCGTCAGAAGGCACCTCAAAGGAAACGCTCAAATTTTTTTAAAATAAGCCGCTTTGAAGTTGAGTCTTTATTTCTCGGAAACTAGAAGTTTTTGCAGAAGGAAACTTTCAGAATCCTGAACGTCCAGCAGGTTTCTGGCCAATTTTCAGGGAGTTCCCAACCGTCAACGAAAATGACCTCCCTTGTAAGTTATTTAAAGTATTCTTTACCAGTTTTTGAAATACGAGAAGACTAAGAGGACAATACAAAAATTCATAACCTTCGTTTAGAAAAACAATTTTTTTAAACAACGTCAACTTCGAGAACGAACTCCTTGCCCGCACGAATAAGTCTGAGGCAACGGCCGAAGCGGAAGATTTCATATTTATTCAAGGCCCGCATTTTCACTTCGAACCGGTCGAAGGTGCCTTCGATACGGTAGAGGTCGATGATAATCCGCACGCTTGACTCGAATTTGGCGTGCTGGAAAGAGGATATTTGTAGGATGTGGTAGAGGAATTCGGATAAGGTAGAAGTAGTGGTGGACTGAAGAGAGGTCAGAGAAAAGAGATGTCTTTATTTCTCTGCCGCCTCTTCTACCATGTCCCTTGGAGGGCTTTACAATTTTCAATTTGAACTGTTGAAATAGTAAGGTTAACGTTATTCATAGCTATTTCATAGTTTTCTCAATGGAGCGCAAAGTTTGAATTGATTTTTCCTGGTCGCGGCTATTTTTCTCAGTCAGCTTATTTCAAACCAAATCGCTTTTAAACAGACTGCGAGAAGTTTTTTTTTCGGAAAAACTGGCTAAAAAGGACCGAACCTCCATGAAATTCATGACGGCATCAGGGCTATAAGTATAGCCAGGGAACCGATTCGAGAAGAGACTGATTCCTTCGCCAAGCTGCGATTTTCGCGTAGCTTCCTCCAAAAGTCGGTCGTAGTTTTCTGCGACCGGCACCATAATACTCGTTTTCATCCTGTAAATTATTGAAAAATAATTGAAGGTTTGAATATTAACTAACGAGAAGAAAGTGACGCTATTCATGGCTTCGATGACTTCCAATGGGGTGTAGAGAATATCAGGAGAACCGGCCAAAATATTGACCGAGTGAACTTTCGGGCAACGATCCAAAATGTAGAGCACGTCCAAACTTTGGCCTTCGAGGTTGAACTCGATCTGAAACCAGTAGTTTAGCTAGGAAAAATTGGCATTTTCACTTACATATTCAAGCGTTTCCAACCACCAACGCGGGATCGTCTCGATGATGTCAAACGTCAAATTGAGCAGGACGTATTTTGGCCGATAGCCGGCAACGAATCGGAAAAACGTCTCTTCGGACACGATTTTCCGGATCCAATTGGAGCTCTGACTCCTGGGATGGAAGAGAGTGACGGCGTTGTGAAGCCGGAAGCCGCGGTTGTTGTTGTATCGTTCTGCGGCAACGCATTTCATCAACCGCAGTGAGGTCAACGGTGCGCGTCTGAAGCAAGGAAACTGATCCTAATTTCATTATTTTCAAGGCTTCTCAAAGTTTATTTTTGAGCAAGGGGCTCATTTATTGCTAAATATGTCGCCCTAGCCTGGCGCAGTGCCATAATGAGGTCACAGGTTCAACTCCACGAAAAAGTTTTTTTTTGCTATTTCAAAACAGATTTCACCGACATTCCGGGCTTCGCTAGCCTTTTTAATGTAATATTATAAATTGACGAACTTGAAATTCTTCCGATGCTCAATAATGTAGTTGTTCCAAAAGTGAGAAGTGGAAGCCAAAGACATCAAAGCCGAAACATCCATCCTTTTGGCGATTTCCACTTGAATGTCGAAGGGAAGTTCCACTCTCCGAGGACAAGCGTAAAAAAAAGGCGGAGATGGTGGAGGAGGAGGAGGTGGAGGAGATGGAGATGGAGACGGGAAAGCGTAGAAGTTCATTCTAAAAATCTTTTTTTTTCCTTGTAGTTAGTTCGAGTATTTGAGCTCATGAAATTAAAGCTCAAAGCAATAAATTTACAGGTCTAAAAACTGTAAACAGCTTCATTAGAAGTATAAGTTAATATTTTTTAGTACAGCATCGAAAAATTCAACGAAATTCGTTCTTCACAAAAACAACAGAAAAAAAAGCCAAGCAAGAAAACAAAAATAATGGGTCGAAAGGGAAATGAGAACGAGCAGGTGGTACAGGCGGGGCCAAGAGGTGTGAAAATAGACGAACTTTGCCAGAAGCAAGGACGCACGTCAAATCTTGGTTGTGAGAAAGGGCAAGGAACGCTCTCAAGATGGCCTAGTACTAAGATAATGGAAAGTTGAGTATATAAGTTACTGTCAGTGAAGTTATTACATCTGAAAAATCGAATACTCGAAAATTAGGCTTTTTCTGGTTTCTAGGGTTTCCATGCTTCCGTTTTTCAATAGCTTTTTTTGAACCTAAACACTAAAATTAGGCATTTGAGGCCAATAATTGTAATTTTTTTACTCAAAAATACTCAATGATTTCCGTTTAATATTTTTTATTTCCAATATTTTTCATTTCCAGATAATAATAATAACATAATTTTTTCCCCATATCAGACTCTTGAAAACTCCTTTTTCTCTAAACTTTCTTGCAGCTTGATGACCTCGTTAAACAAAAAGAACTAAAACCGAAACAACCAAAAATTGAAAAGAAAATTTATTTCTGAAGCGAAAATCTTGAAAAAGGCTTGGAAATTGGTGAGAGTGACGAAACAACCGTAATTTTTATCTTATAATGGGGAATGAACAATTTGATAATTTCCAGGCGCATAATTTCTGTGAATATGAAATAAACTGTGAAGTTGATCAAGTATTGAAGATAGACGCGAATGTTGAAGCCGATCACTTGAATATAATCGGGAAGCCGGTAGAATTTTCCCTAAGACGGCTTGCTTTTGAATAAAGAAACAAGCCTTGGAAAAGCTCAAGTTTACCCCGTTTGAATCCACAATGAAAGCAGTAATCTCATAGCTTATCAATATCAGTGATACGACGATTGTCTGAAGTAATAGGGCGTTTTCGGTCTTCTGACGCTGTTTTGAAGGATACTCTGGAAAGAAAAGTTATCAAACGAAATTCCGAAATGAAATAACTGTTTCCATCGCGATTTCGGAAAAGCTCCAGTCGGAGAACTTTGATATAAACTATTAATAAGGTAGTTAGAACCACAGAAAATCCAAGAGCCGATATCATTATGTATCGTTGTCCATATTCTCCCTGAAATTAAACAATCAGGTTGATCTAGTGGCTAAAAAGTCGGGGTAGTAATATTGTAATGAAAGTTCGGACCTCGCTGGACTCACTTTTTTGCTAATAATCACTTTAGAGTATAAGATTGTGGAAAAAATAAAAATAAGTTTTCCCTTGCATTAATTTTGAAGCTTTACGTCGAACCCGGAATGATTCAAAGCATCAACGGGAAGCTTTGAGTCATTCCAAGTGCTACCGAGATTTTTCAAACAAAAAAAAAAACGAACGAAAAATGGTTCGTCGCAAGTATCATGAAAAAGATGGTGATCGAAGTCCAAAATCACAGGACAGCCGTCCAGCCAGGGTAAAAAGGAAAATATTGCACTGAAAAGCTGAAAATTTTGTAGTTATTTCGGTTATTTTGGACCTCTAACCGCTACCAGGGCGTTATAAAGCCAAAGTTTTTTGTTTGAGAACCATTTCTGCTTCGTAGGCTGCAAAATGAAAACGGCTCGATGTATAGTCATCAGAGGAGTCATGAAGATTCGTTGCGTGTAGGCCCACAGTCCGAAGGAATTCGCCGCAGCTGCAGTAGCTTCACTGACGGCTTGAAAAGGAGGTTATGGGTACCAATTAGATTGGAAATTTAACTTTAATTAGAGAGATTTTTTTATGATGGCTCGAATTTTTCTTCACAAGGCAAAATTTTGGGAGCTGCAACTTTGAGAGCTGCGATTTCAAATATTTTGCAGACGTCGCAATTTTTTAACATACATGTTTTTAAAACACTTACGAAATTTCTCATTCCTTTTATAGAACCTATTCGCTCTCATGTTTAGGTTGGGACACTTACCTTTTCTAATGTCTGATTTTACAAATAGTGGAAAACAGAATTGAATAAAGCCAGTGAAGTTGAAGCTCAACTCGGCGACAGTCATTGCATAGATATAAGCAGATATCACGGTATCTGAAATGTTTTTATTGAGTTCTTAAAAAGAGATTGAAATTTGGGAAGAAAAATAAAATCCACTAAACATAATTTACAGTTTTTTAAGCTTCGGTAATGAAACTCGAACATTAAAAAAAAAGAGGGACGTTAATAAATTTGAGTCAAACAAAAAAAAAACTTTTTTTCGATAGTCGACCGACGGCGATAAATGCACAAACATTGAAAGTTATGCTGAATAGATGAATGGCCAAAAGAACAATTCCTTCAAAGATATCTGTGCTTGACACCATTTCGTATCCCAAAAAAGGAAATTCGTTCTATCTTTTGATTTTGAAAACGATTATATTCATCGCGTGAGCTTTTTATATACCTTTTTTTGAAGATCCAAGATCAGAGTCTAAGATGGAAATTGAAAACAAGATGAATTCATTCAAATGGAAAAACTGAGTTATTTATGAGAACTTCGTGTAATTTGTTCATTTCAACTGTCAGCTTTCAGTCTTGCTTTAGAAGCTTTTCCATGGTTTTTTGAGTTTACACACTGAATTTATGGATTCCACCTAAATTCTGAGATGTTCACCTGAATTTATAGTAATCTAATAAGTTTTTTTAAACTTGAAAGCGGATAATTAAAATGGGCCTGCCCTTGCAAAATTGTAATAATCACTTTTATTTTTTTAAAGAAATCTAGGCTTTATTTCTACACATCTGGATTCCATAGACCATTTTTCAAAACCAAAGTATGATTTATTTCATAAGATAACAATAATCAGAGGAAATAAAATGTACAAATATACAGAGCAGGAGTAAAAATTCAATCATAGATGATAAGATTATCGGGATAGTGAAGTGATAACCGTAACTCTTGTCTTATTGTTATGAATGAATAGTTTGAGGATTTCGAGACGTATCGGTTTCGTGAAGATGAAGTAAACGGTGAAGTTGATAAAGTATTGGGCGTAGATGCGAGTGTTGAAGCCGACTAAGTGCATCAAATCTGCTAAACCGTAGTATCCTCGCTGTAAAAATAGTCTTGATATAAAAAAGCCTCTGAAGGTAAAAGTACGAACCTCATTTGAAGCCACGAAGAATGCACTAACTTCATAATTAATCAATATCAGGGAAACAATTATTGTTTGAAGTAGAAGGGCATTTTCTGTTCGTTCTAGTTGTTTCGAATGAACTTCTGAGATTGAAAAGTCCAAGGTTTTCGGTAAAAAGACTGACTTGTTCCGCTTCGTTTCCATATTTTATTCCAGCATTCCCATCGAGGAATTTTGATATATATCATCAGTGACGTTGTTAAAATCACAGAAAACGCGAGAACAGCTATCATGATGTATCTTTGATTGATTTTGCCCTGAAACCAAATTTGAAGCAAAACCAATTTTGGAAAACCAACCAAAAAAGGCTGGTCGCAGGAATCACGGAAACGATGAAGATAGAAAACGAAAACCACTGGACAATCATTCAATAAAGGTGCAAATGAAAAAGTTGCCGCAATCAGCTGGAAAAAAATTTATCAGATAAATTCACGGCATACTCACTGCAATCAAGCCGTTGTAAATCCAAAGTCGTCGATTCGAGAACCAGCTCTGTTTCGTGGGTTTCAAAATGAGAACCGCTCGATGTACAGTCATCAAAGGTGTCATGAAGATGCGTTGGCAATACGCAAAAAGTCCAATGACATGAGCCGGAACGGATGTGGCGTCAAATACAACTTGAAAAGTTTTGCATCAAAGTTTGGACATTTTTTTTGGGTAGCTCAACAGGTTGTGTGCTTGTCTACGGTCCACAGGGTCACAAAATCGACCCAACCAAGGGTTTTAAAAAATGTTGGTAGTGGGAAATTACGACTTCAAAATTCCTTAGCCGTCACACACAAGGACTGATATGTCAGTAGTTATCCCTGATATCAGGATAGGACCTCTAATCTACCTGGGCCGCCGGGGAGAAGAAGAAGGTTTGGAAGATTTTGATTTTTTTTTCAAACTACTGATATTTCAAACATTTATTGTCACTTTACACTTTACACATAGCTGCTAAGAAATTGGCGTTTTTTTTTTCTTTTTTTTTAAAGCGCTGACTTTTTTGTGACTCGATTAGGCCGATTTGAAAGCTGCTAGCTTGAGAGCTGCAAGTTATCAAGCTTTCAGAGAGCTGTTACTCTCTCAATACATATTTTCCCTGTTTTCAAAGTCAATTTCTAGCTTGACTCACTTAGCTTCTCGTTCAGACAAATTTTTACTTTTTTCAAAATCCTCTTACCGTATTCAATTTCTGGCTCTACAAACAGAGGGAAGCAGAACTGTATGAAGCCAGTGAAGTTGAAGATGAACTCGGCGAAGATCATGGAATAGATATAAGCAGACATTACATTATCTGAAATATATTCACAAATTTTTTTTTCCTTCTTTGTTGTGTCAATTCGATGTGGTCTCTATTTCTATATTTTAATTTTAGAACGATTATCTAAACTAACTGTTCTTCGACAGTCGACTAACTGCGACAATTGCACATATATTGAATGTAATACTGGATAGATGAATTAATAAAAGAAAGAGCCCGATTGAAAGTTCAACACCTGGAGTCAACACCATTGCAGTCAGAAAAATTAAAAAGGATGATTTGATTGTTGTAACCAGAAAATAGCACCAAGAGACGGATGACTTCGCGTGAGCCATTATTTTTCACCTTTTCTCCGATTTCCAATTCTTTTTCTCAAAAATGAAAAGGTGGGCGAGGCTCGAAAAAGGAGGTCTCATTATAATCACCCGTCCCAGTGAGTATTTATGGAGTTGTAGTTTGAAGGGGAAAAAATCACATTGTTTTTGTTCATAATCATCATTTTATTAGTTTAGAAATGAATAAATCTTCCCTGAAGGCCACAAAGCCTCTTGTAAGAACTTATAAAGAAAATCAAAGGTAAAAAAGAAATGAAACTCAAAGTTCCGGCTATCAATTTAATTATTTCATATATCCATCGGTTCAGTGAATGGCGACGTTACTAGAGTCACATAAATTGTGAAGCTCTTTTATAATCTCTCACTTTTTTATTCCTTTGATTTCTACTTTTCAGCCTCCACTTTTTTTTCTCAAACTTTTTTGTCCCACGGTGTCTCGCTGCAAAAATAGAGTCTCTGTGAACCAAATGTACTTTATTAATAACCAAATATACAAAAATGAGAATCTGTGAACCAAATGTACTTTATTAATAACCAAATATACAAAAACAAAATTTCAGTTTCTAGAGCTGGAAATGTTAGGCATATGGCTTGGTTTAACTTGGTAACCTGGGCGGAACATTCTAATAATTTCACCCCGAACGACTTTGGTGAAAATGAAACAACACATAAAGTTGATAACATATTGGGCATAGATCCTGGCGCTGAATATGACGCTCTGGGCAAACTGTGGCAGTTCGTAGAAGAAGCCCTGAAAGTTGACAACTTGATTGAGAATTATTATCATTAGTTCAGACTCCTTCTTATTTATGGACTATTTTTTATTACTTGATGCTTTTTTGGTTTCATATCTCATGGTGGAATGGTTTTTGAGCATTCAAAGGACTACTCAGGTGATTTAAATAGGGAATCGTTCAGTGGAATCAGAAATTTGAGAGCTGCATATTTAGAAGCTCATATGCTGCCATTTCAGTAATGAGAAGGCCAGCAGGAAACAAATTTTTTTCCCAAAAAATCCCTTGTTATGAAATCCCTCTATTAAAAAACAGAAAAATCAACCTTGACCGACTCCTCCAAAAGAACAAAAGCCGTTAGTTCGTAGGTTATAATTATTGAAGAAACCAAAATCGTTTGAAATAATAAGATGTTCTCTGTTCTCTCCAAGTCTTTCGAGGCTCGAAAGCCGGAAGGGTAGCCTGAAAGAACAGGAATTGAACTTTCAATTTTTTGAATAGTAAAACTAACCTTGGGAGAATAGTCCAAAAGCCTGGTTGAATGTTTTGCTCCGACCAATTTTCAAGTAGATTACGAGGACAATTGTAGCGGCTGTGGAAAAAACACAGACCCCAGCCATGAACACTTTTTGGAGAATCATGATCTAAATGATAAATGAGAAAAAAGAGTTCAGAATATTGAAGCGACTCTTAAAAACCTATCCATGAAGTTTTAGTGAAACCATTACATCATGAATCCTTCATAAAACTCACTTGATAAGGTGATTGGCAGACTTCCAAGAATTTCCTCAAGTTTTTGTCAAAAATAACGGGACAGTCGACCAGCCAAGGTATCATTGAGAATATTATTGAGAACATCTGAACATAATCCTTTAATCTTTTTTTGAAAAATGCACAAACCGCAATCACTGAGTTGTAGATCCAAAGCCGTTTATTGGTGAACCAATGTTCTTTTCGTGGTTTCAAAATCAAGGTACCCCGATGAGCTGTCATCAAAGGGGTCATGAAGATCCTTTGGCAATAGGCGATCAGACCGATAATGCTCACCCAAACGGCTGTTGGTTCGTAGACCGCTGAAAGGAAATTTTCAAACAGTTCGCAGATATTCTTTTCGAAATAGGGAAAGTCTCCAACCTTTGGCGACGCTGTCCGGAACCAATAAAGGGAAACAAAACTGAAGAAATCCCGTGAAATCATAAATAGTTTCAGATAACAACATGAAATAGATGTAAACTGTGATTATTTTATCTGGAAACCTTTTTGGTCACTTTCTTTTCATTATATCGGGAAGTCATTTATCTCAATTTATCATGAAATTGCAACGTACGTGATTTAGCGTATCTTCGAACGGCCAAAAAAGCGGAAATGTTGAAAAAAAGGCAGGTGATATGGATCATTAGAAGAACGAGGCCAACACAAACATCAGTGGAGGGTTGTGTTCTTCGGATAAATGTGTCGGTGACCATTGGCCTGAAAATATTCCATAAATCAGAAGGAAGTGGTGTTTGTAACAAAAAAGAGCGGAAAAAAAGTCTCAAAAATGTCTGGTCGCACGTAGAATGGCTCACGCGTTGCGGCTCAAATCACAGTTTCAATTATCATCCTAACACTTCAATTTTACTGTAAAAGGATCTGAAAGAGAACAAGGTTTACTTGGCTCAAAGTTTTTCAATGGGTCCAAAAAAATGTGTAGACTTTTTTCCGCCTGATTTCCTTATCAATAGCGTAATCTATTGAATTACGCGAAAACTCGTGGGCTAAAAACGGGCCCCTGAAACGAATTTATTCAGTGAAAAGTCACGAAAATGATGACGCGTCTCTTAGTTTTCCTTCAAGGAGTTCTAGGAAAAATTTCAATACTATGAAAACCGAGATTGGGACTACTGGTGATCTTGATTCAGACTCCTAGACACACAGGGACGGTCATTTCACTTTGTGTTTGGGAATTTTCTGAAAATTGGCCAGAACACGTCTTGATGTACCAGAAAGATACTCAAAAAGTTTCAACCTGCAAAACTTCCGAGTTTTCCAGAAATAAGGTCTCAAAGCCTCAAAATAGTTTTTTTTTCATGGATTTTTAGGGCTTTCTTTGACTTCATGGCGTCTTTTCTCGAAAACTAGAAATTTGTGCAGGTTGAAAATTTTCGAATCTTCTTCTGGTACATCAAGGAGTGTTCTGGCCAATTTTCAGGAAAATCCCAGTCTCAAACTGAAACGATAAAAAAAAAAAAAAACTTCCAGACATTTTTCATCAAAACAGAAGTAAAGGAAGTAGTCAAATATATATTTTATTGTTATTATCAACGCGAAACGAGAAAAATAAAAAAATGAATATTTTGGTCGTTTTTTGAATGACGCCTACTTAGCCTTTGAATCAGGCTGTTCTATCCGAAATAAAAAAGACAGATGAAAAAAAATTTTCTGAATTTTTCGTGAAAACAGTGTAAATAATGTGGGTGTTGAAGGTACATCGAATCGAAAAAAAATAATTGTTGGGATATCAAATTTTTATGAGATGGGGTTCATGGTACATCCAAAAAATTAAATTTAGGAAAAAATAAGGAGAAATTTTCGAGCTCCGCCTTAAAAAAGCTTCAAGCTTTAAGAAAAGGGTTCAAAAATTAGAAAACAAGGAAAAAATGACGAGCAAATTATGATAGCATGCATTTGTAGTTATGAGATGTACTAGGTTATAAAAGCTTTCATGAAATTGTAAAAGAAAGAAGTCTTCTGAATACTTTCAAAACCAAAAGAAGCAGTTTCAGGTGACCTGAGATGAAGATAATGGTCGGAACGAGCCTCACGAACGGTAGCGACTCTTTTGGCTCAACCCGTAGGTTTTTAATTTTTAATGTAGACTTTAAAGTTCGACACTTGCCAACGAAATTTTGAAAAAAAATATTTGGAGGGGAGCAAATTTTATTAATTTATTGTCAGTAAGTTTCCCTTCCGAGCCAATTTTTTTTTTCAAGCTTCGCAGTTTTAGAAGAATTATCAAAAGGATAATCGAATTTTATCATATCAAAGATGATCTGGGCTTTCGGCATGAAGAAAAGGTAAGTGACCACTTAAAAGTAGATTTTAGCGTCTCAAAGAAGAAATAAATTCAGTCAAGCGGTCCTATACGTCGACTGGATACCACGTCGGGTTATCCTACCTCCCTCAAACTGCGGTTCACCCCCAAAAAGGCCGAGGGGGAGATCCAGCCAATGTATGACCGCTGCGGTCCCTAAAGTACCAAGATTCAAACGACGGAATATTCACTCTAACGTCCACTTGGAGAACCCCTAGAAAGGACAGCTTTGAATGAAGATACATAAAGGAGTAACTTGAGTCCAAAGATATGGTATGAAGGTTCATAGATATAATTTCAACCTACTCACACATCGAGCTTTTCAAGACTGAAAAGGTAGCTCTCCAAACTAAGTCCTAGATTCACGGGTCACGCCCTGATATTTTCGAGCCGTAGAAAATCTTTATCAAATAAAGCTCACACAGAAAATCCTAAAAAAAATTCGAGAAAGTTCCGATTTCTCATTCTGATGAAAGATATACGTCCTTCTTCCCATTTTGTGCTCGTGTGAAATTTTTTGCACCTTTTTTTTACGCGAGAGTGCAAAATGAGTCTTTTTCGAGCCTAGAGATTTATCAAGTCTCATTAGAAAGTATTTTCATGAGATATATCACGAAAAATGAGCCCGAAGGGGTCAGATGGAACTCGATAAAAAATGATGAAAACAAACAGGTGAATTGAATGATGTTTGGAGGAAGTAGGAAAAAGGTTCATTTGATTTATATACACTTGGTATCAAATTTTCGCTCAAAAAGGTCATAAATTGCGCAGAAAAAAGGTAATCAGTGCGATAGACCCATAAATTGTGCATTCTTCAAGATTCCGGCTGCAGACTCCAAACGAGAAACTCAGTTTAATTGGAGGTTTGAAAACATGAGATTGAATATAATGAAGTTGTTTTCAGAAGTTTTCTTTGAGTTGAAATGAATCAATAGACATAATTTTCCCACTGAATCATCTCGGAATTTTTCTTGTAAAAAATAATCATATGAAAGAGATCATTGAACTAAATTTTTTTAACTTTTTGAAAATTATCGTAGGGGTAGGAATAGAAAGAAAAGGTTATGGTAGGACTCAATGTCGAGAGAAATTTTAGCTTTCCTAGAATGAAAAAAATACAGGAAACACAAAAACGGAAACGAACCATCGGTTTCAATAATAAGAATAATATCGAAGTCTATTTCTTTGGCGTCACTTGAAAAATAAATCAGTAATTTAGTTCTTCAAAAATTCAGCGGTTGGAACCAAATGTTAGAAAAATAATCAAAAAATCAGTGGTAGTTAGTCTGGTAAAGCTGGAAAACTAAACAGACTCGATCGAAGTAATTAATTTGAGAAGAGATGTTAGGATCGAAAAATTGCGCAAAAAGTTATTTTTCCTTCATTTTCACGGCGTTCGAAGCTGTAAAGCTATACTCTGGTCATTGAAATAAAAAATGTGTATATTATTTTTTTGAAATTTTTTTACGAGAAAAGGACCAAACAGCGAGAGATCAGTTCGTTAGGAGAGGGGCCAGAGAAGTTATGGTATTCTAGATGTCTCTTCAAACGGCTGTTCTTACTAGGGAACTACTCGGACTCGGGTACGCGTTTCGAGTTTGACTTTGGTGGCTTATAGACCCGGGTAAGAGTACTTGGAAACAAGAGAGATTATCTGCTAAACCTCATAGGCTTCTGAGAAAAAGTTTTTTGAAAATGAACAGTTTAGGCTTGAAAATTATCAAATTTTCGCTTTATTTCTTCTTTCGCTGAGAAAAAGTTTTTTAGAATGTATCATAGCCGGATCATCCAAGGCGATTGCATTAAAATATAAAATAAGGCAAAAAGCAGTATTCTGGAAAATTTCAGGCCTAATTTTCACATTTTCTACTAATTTTTTCTCAGCTCTCTATCGATATTTTCTCTTGTTTTCAAGTATTCTGACTTGGATCTATAAACCACTAAAGTTTCAACTCGAAACCCGTACCCGAGTCCGAATAGTTCCCTAGTTAGGATCCCCAGAGTGGTCACTAGGAGTGTCCCCCTAAGGATCACTTCACAAACCCCTATAGGAGCCACTAAAGCTTGCAAAATTGGTCCCTATAAGGTGCTTCATAGTCGATAAGCATTATGAACTCTAAGCAAATAAGCATTTCCATGGGGAAAACTCAATAAATAGGCGGTTTTTGAATGAAAGTTGAAAGACCTCTATAGGGTCCACTCGACTTTTAGGGGCTAAGAGGTCAGACCCTAAATCCCTATAGGGACCACTTTTTCGGCCCTATTGGGGTTGTTTTCCACCCTAACCCCTATAGGGACCACTCTGGAACTTCTAAGTTCTTCTGTTTGAATAGATGAGAAATGAGATCTATGGAAATTCCGAATCGAAAGCCTATTTTTGCCTGGGTTTGATGGTTTTTTTCATATAAGGGATTTGAACTATGATATATATATATATATATATATCAGGTGTTTTTAAAAAGACTTTTTTTGAATATTGAGGATCAATAAGCAGAAAAAACACTGCAATAGTACCCATATTTCTATGAGAAAAAAAGAAAAGCGGACTTCCTTTCTTATGGGAAAAACTGGCTCATTTCACATCATTACGGCGGAAATTTTTGATGTTTTGATTTTCTAAAAGCTCAAAAAGTAACATTCCTACACAGAGCTGTTGGAATAAATAAAACATCTTGGAGAAAAATAAGATAAATGGTTCGATTTGAAAAGTTACTCAGAACTTTTTTTACGAAGTCAATTGTCAGATTCCTTGAATTTTGAGGGTTGGAAAGCCATAATTTGATGACAACCTTGAAGCTTGAGAATCGAAGATTCCTTCTTTCTATAATAACTAGGTTCGGAGCGAAGGAAAGACGAGAAAACTTGACCTTTTCAACTCGAAATTTGCTTGAAAAATGAGTGTTGACCAGTCTGAACAAGATATTTCAATCAACACTATGAACAAAAAAATTAATTTAAAAAAAGGCTAATTGATGGATTAGTGGAATGGAGAGTAAATATTAATTAACCTGAGAGGACGACAACAATTTTTTCTGATTATAATTGAGGAAAATGGTTTGAAACTACAAATAAACTCTGAGCTTTGAGTTTTAGAATAAAAACAGGCATGCAACTCTTTCAAAACATTTCTTTTAATTTCTGACATTCTTGTTTTAGGAAAAAATCGTTTTTCCCTTCTTCTTTATTGATTCCGGAATACTAGCTATCAATGTGGCTGGTAAAAAGAACCTTAAAAAAATACTTTAAAAAACTTTTACTGGATCTAAAACTTTCGTAATGAAGTTGCAATACAAAAACCGAGAAACCAAGACTTTATACCAAAAAAGGAGCAAATGAGCAAGGCAGAGAAGAAAATCCCACACTTTACGCAAAATTTTCAGTGGAGTTGCAAAAAATCAAGTGGACACGGAAGGCCAAGCCATTCTCACAGCCGGGATTACGGTACGACGGGCGGCGCATCGGAACATTTCGATGAAACCGTGACGAATCGTCGGGATGAAGCAAATGTAAGCCGCCCAGATCAGTGGCATCGTCGCATCTTGTAGAATGGCTGTTCCTAACTGGATCGCCTGGAAAAAGGAAATGAAAGTCAAAAAAGTCCTTGAAACGGAACGGATATGTACAGTCAAAGGCATAGGGGCAGTAAAAACGGTGTTTCAGTTTAAAGCAGTACTTTGTAGAGCTTTTCATTGCGAATCGAACGGTGAACTTGGAAACGTACCGAACTTCCTAGTTTTGGAAAAAAAATAATTCAAAGTCGGAGAAAGGAAGCTTGAGTTCCCGCGAAAAGGGCGCTTTGCAGTAAAGTCGCTCTATGGACAACAGGCTCCGCCATCTTCCGGATTTTCGCTTTTTTCTTCGTTTCTTTCAATTTTCAATTTTTTCTGTTGTCACCAAAGTTTTTTTTGTCACAAAAGCTTTCTGTCCATGTAATTTTCAAAAATACGGCTTTCATCTGAAACCCCGTTGTTTAATGCCCCGATGCTTTTAAAAGACATTCAATTTATATTCTTTATAATTCTATTTAAAAAAATGGAAAAGTTTGCTTTGTCCTAGTTTTTTTCTTCTTTTTTTCCTATTATTGTTTTTTTGTGAGAAAAAAATATTGTCTTTAATGAGGCGTTGCCATTTTTTTTTTTCGAGACATTAGTCGGTCTCAATTTTGGAGCTGCAAGTGAAAAAAATGATTATCAAAATTTTATGCGGGAGATGCTTGAAAGTTTTTTGCAACTTTTTCGAATCCTTTTTTTTTTGAAGCTTTTCGATGGCTAATGGTGAAGATGTGAGGGATCGTTTAAAAAGTTTTTTTTTTCGCCTACTGTAGGTCGAGATTCTGCAAACACAGCGACGCGTTCGCTGATGGTTTTAATATTTGAAAAAAAGTTGATTTTTACCTTCCTTATTATCTTTTTCCTGTTTATAAATGATATTCAATGTTTTTTTAGGAATAGAGCATATCCAGTTCTGCCACGCCCGTTAAATAAGTCCGGATCATAGGTTTTTTTCTGGATTTTTATACAATAATCGAATTTTTTTATAGGTGGAAGAGGACTTTCTAAATCGTTTCACTTTAAGATTCGATAAAAATTTCTCAGAAGAAAATTATCGCTTCAGCAAGACAGGTACGTGATTTTTAATAAAGAATTAGTATAAATAAAATTGTATCAGACACAAAAGAAAAAAAATACTGAAATATGATATAAACCGGCTGGTATACCTTATATATCTAGAATCCTATATAAAGATATATTTTCAACTTGATAGTTTCGAAATAATTTTCTTCAAAAACCCACCGGCGGCCATAAATATTTATCATCATAAGCATAGTTGATCATCATTACGATAATTGATGGAAAGACTGAAAATATTGGAAAAATACAACAAAAAAGGAAGAGACGACTGATTGAACGATCTTTGTAGTATCGGGATTGCGTCTGAAATCCGGAAAATACGGAATATAAAGGATTTTCTCACCAATTCAGTGATACCATGAGTTAGAGTTGGCTTCACTCCATTCAAATGATTCGCTAGTCTTTTCCAGGTTATGAAAAAGAGGAATATAGCGGAGATGACGAAGATCCTGAAAAATTGCTTTTTTGGGTTGGAAATTATCGAATGCAGATGGTTATTTTTTTGATGTCTGGTCTAATTTTTCTGGGTCAAAATAAAAAAAAGATTTTATCAGCTAATTGAAAATAAAAGTTTTGCCGTACTTTTTGCTCAGTTCATCACATAAAAAGTTCCAAAACGCTTTCATCAATTCGAAATAAGAAGAAATGGATGAAAAGTTATAATAAAAACCCTGTTAAGTTTAAATCACTGAGCTCCTTTTTTAGCATTGGCCAAGGGTCAACCGGGACCCTGGCATTGAAAGTTTTGGGTTTTTCTCGCCTAGATAGACAAGAATCAAGGAGTTTCGAAAACGCGAAAACAAACCATTGTAAAATATACATCAACCCATAACTGAATATGGATCTTGTCACAACCGGACAGAATTCGTCGTCATAGTCGACATCGCAAGAAATCAAGGCGTTGTATAGCCCCACGATGAAACCAAATGTAGGAATACTTATGTAGAGAGTTATTATCCTTCAAAAAGAGTCAATCATCCAGGTTTCTCCATCAATAAATTTACATCCAGACCCGTAATTTTAAAAGGCCGAAAATGACCAGATAGCGGTCCAAAGCGTCCACAACTCCTTGGGTAGCGATTGGATTATAAGTTAGGTTTCTGATCAAAGAACAAGTCAAGATCGAAATCTGTAATGCATATTTTTTTGATAACCTCCTGATTCCTGGAGATTTTTCTGAATAAAATTAAGGTTTCCAATTTCAACTCACTGAAACACTTTGATGTAAAAGATAGAAATATGCCCTAATTTTTTTTGATTATCCGTACTAAAAAACGGACCTTGATTTGACTGACTCCGAGGCCCCAGTAGAACCCATCATAAACGATATTCAATAAAACGGCAAAAATAAACGAGCCGCAACTCATAGTGAACATTAATTTTGGCCTAGGGTGCATATTAGGATTCAACCGCATTGAAATCAGAACAAGTAGTAGGAAAATCAGAGATATTGAGTGAGTAAGGGTGAATATTGGGATCGATTCAAGGTTGACAGTTCGAACTTTAAAAGTTGTCGTTTTGTCCAGGCAGTCCATTGATGTTTTTTGTGAGAATTTTGTACAGGGTTCTAAAAACGAGCGAGTAGAAGATTATTGGTTTCTAACAGAGGTTTACGCGCACCTGCCGCAAAATTATGTATAATTTGGAATTTTCGCGAGTTTGTCATACTCCTAGTCACGCCTTTAAGTACTGATCCTTTGAATTTCTTCGATGGTAAACGAATAATTAATCAAGTTCATTTTTCACTAGTTCTTGACGGGGTGAGTAGACCAGTCGTTTAAAAAATTTTGTCTTTTTTTATTCTTAAGTGATCTTTGTAATTGTTTAGAAACGTCCGGAGCACGTCCGGTTTTTCTTATCGAGGACCGAGTTAGTTTTTGATTCTAATCATCTTGAGGCCGTTCAAATTTCAATGGAGCGCGAAGTAAATTTGAATAGTGGCTGTCTTGTTTTCAAGCTACTTCGTTTATTGGCGTATCTATTTTTCAGTAGCCCAATTACAAATAATGGAAGTTTTATTTATCCGTCACTCATTATCGAACTTTTCAAACCAGAAAATAAGCCTCTCAAAATGTATTTGTATTCTATACACTAAATCGAGGCAGAAGACCAGGCGACACGGCTTGGCGGCACTGTCGGGGGGTGCAAAGTGACGCCGAATAACTCGAAAAATCCAATTCGAATTGAAGGAATAAAGGTGATATAAATGATCCAAACGAAAGCCATCGTGAAGTCTTGTATCACGATCAAGGCTTTTTGGATGGCCTGAAAGTTTTTTATTTGAATTTTTTACGCCTTCCTTTTCCTTTGACTCGGGCAAAGTCGGAATGGTGGATAATGGCTGCTAAAAGAGAGAGGCTCAAGAAAGGAAGCAGAAAGGTAGCAAAAAGGGAACCTTTGTCACCCAAAAAGGAAAATTACAATAGAGCCTCTTTGCACTCTTTTTTTGATTTCTATCTCCTCGTTAAGGTCGTTCAAACTTCAATGGAGCGCTTTTTGGTTCCGTCTTTTGGTTATGCAGTTTAGTTATCGAGTCTCAAAGAAGCTAGCATCCCCGGTTTTTTGATCGCTCATATAGTCTTTAATAGCTTAAGAATTTTTACGTGTTTATAATTTTCATTGGGGTTCGAAGGATTATTAAAAATGGATATTTTTGAAAGGTGTACTCCGACCTTCGTTTTCCGTTCTTTCCAACTATTCATATCAAATTAAATTTCTTATCAAGTTGCATTGCTGAAAAGGAAGGAATAAACTGGCCTGCGGCAATAAATTCTTCTTGTTCAACGCATTTTCAATCAAAGAAACAATTATCGGCGGCGCGAATATAATCAGAGGCATAACGCAGCAACACAGGAAAAGCCTCATGATTGACCGATCTTTGTAGTACTTGGATTGCGTCTGAAAAGAATGTGTTTGGGAAGTTTTTGCCAACATTTTGATGTCTGAAAACACAAGTTTTGTAGGAAAAACAAGAAAAAAGGCACATAGTTATTACCAGTTCAATTGTTGGCTTGGAAGTGGTCGTTGTGCTGTGGACGTGAAGCTTTATTTTTAGCCAGCAAAGGAAAGAGATAGTTACAGCAAAGGCCACACAGAACCTAAAAGACAGGTGTAATAGACAAAAAGTCTTGTCAAATTGGACCTCATGGAAAAATAGCCTCTATTTAAAGTCATTTGTGCCCAATAGACAAATTGAAGTGATGCTCTCGAACAAAAAGCACGGATTCTTGAGACTCTCACTGGCAATTTTTATGTTTCTTCCTTTGAGATTCTGTTTTTTCGTGTTTTAGTAAGCAGACTAACCACTGAAAGAAGTTCATAATATCATAAATCCAAGGCGTTCGAATCAAAACAGGACACAGAAAATCGTCATGAATGACGTTGCAAGGAATCACAGTGTTGTATAATCCAATGAAGAAGCCCAGGATTGGTGGCGTGATGTAGAGGAAGGATATTCTGGAAGATTCTTTTTCGGTTCATCAATTATAAAAAAAATGGAAGGTTGGAAGCCAAAATTGTTTTCGAAAAAACCACTTCAAACGCGTATCTTTTAAATGGCTTCTTGGTTTTTACTTAGTATTCAAGGACCGAGTTGAATATGGTGAATTTCTGAAAATTGAAACTCACAAGGAAAGCCGCATAGTGTGGAACCCAAAAATGACCAGAAATCGGTCAATCGCATCGACTATACCGGGTGTAGCCATGGGATTATTCGTCAAGTTACGGAATAGAGAGCATTGCAAGACGGTTATCTGAAAAGAATTCTTTAAAAAGCTAAGGCTTCATTTATTAATAGCTCGCCACAAAATTTATCGACTCTCTCATTTTGCTAAATTCGATGGGCGACTAGAAACTTTAAGGCCCCACTTGGGGTGCATCAGTTAAGGTGGAAATTTTGAATTCATGTTCAGAGGTACCAGAGATAGGCTCTGCAAAAAAAAAAGAAGAAAGATTTATCTTTTAAGGGAACCATACGACAGAAAAATTTGGATCGAAAAATGCGGAAATGTGAAATCTTTGCTGTTTTAGGATTTCCTTTAAAGTGTGGAAACCTAGTTGGAGATAATTTCACGCTTTTTCCACTTATGCATAAGGTAGTATTCCAGTAATCAATATGTTAAAAACTTTTTAAAAATTACAAGGGCGATCATGAGCTATAGCCTGTGTACTACGACTTGGAATTTCACCAAACGACATTCCGTTGTGCCGCTGCGCGCTTTTGCGAACCTTGGTCGCGCTTTTAATTTTTTTTTTTTTTCAGTAAGGTGCTCCCACAGCAATAACAATCAATTGAAAGCGTTACCTTGATTCGGAAGACGCTTCGCGAACGCACGCAACTGTTTTTTTTAAACCGTTTATTGCATCTTCAATGTAAGAATACATGTGCAATCGACTTTCATTGAGTTAACTGTGTTTAAACGACGGCAGGAGCTGTGGCTTAGGCAGAGAATTTGTGAATTTCGCTCGTAGAACATCAGATACAAGAGAGGTCAGATACAAGAGAACGCACGCAACGGAACAGCGGAATGTCGTTCGGTGAAATTTCAAGTCGTGATACACAGACTTTACTAAGCTATATAAGAAAACGAAAGCCACCTTTTCATTTCGCTTCCCAAGCCAAAAGTAGACAATATCGTAGGTCGCATTCAACGAATAGGCCAGTGCAAAAGACATACAGTTCATTGTGAACATCGCCTTTGGTCTTTTATGCATTCTCCCATTTCGATACATAGAAATAGCGACAATTATCAGGAAGATTTCGGAAACGACGTCAATAATCGCCAAAATTGCGAGAGTATCCAAATTTGAAGTGTGTACCTTGATAAGTCTGGTTTGGTTGGCACAAATCATTTGGAAGATGAATAGGGAAAAAACCTCGACAGAATGGCTCGAAAAAGTGTGAAATGTCTGTGATTTAAACGTTCCAAGTTATGATTAGAGAGAAAAATGTTTCGAGAATGTCTTGAGAGGCTAATTATATGTGAAATCGGCAGCTCTTGGGAGGTTGAACGTCAAGAATGTGTGGGATTCATTGGAGCAAAGTTAAAAGTTTAAGCATTGAACTTGGTTGATTCGAGGAGAAACAACGAGTTGTATTTCATTCACATTGAAAGAAATACCACATCATTCATTAAAATACATAAAATACAATGGGAAAGAGAAAATTTTAATTTTCGAGAACTTGAGAGGCAAAAAGAACATATATCTTTCAGTGAGGCCCTTACTTAAGTGGGTCAAGAATTTTTCCAACAAAGTTTTAGAAAATACTGACAGTCTACTTCAAAAGTAAACATGTTTTACACATTATACATTCACATTGGAGATACGATAACTCGTGGAGAGGGAAGTTTTTGAGATTTCAATTTGAGGTACGGCCAAGGAAAAACCGAAAAGCTTCAAGACAGTTCCAAGCTTCTTCAGAACTTCTTCTCGGAAAGGGCGGATAAAATAAATCGAGGTAAGGGGAGATAAAACTGGAATTAGAACAGTTAAAGAAAAAGGAGTATATTCTAAGGCTGGGTGATTGAAAATTCCAATTTGGCCGATCGCATAGGCGGCCACGGAGAACCAGTAGAGGCCAGGAAGACAGGCTTGAATTGTCAAGGACTGAAAAGAAATTTTGAAAAATTTCGCAAAAAAGAAGTCCTCGCCTTGAGCAATTGTCGATGGACAATTTGCACGTTTCTCCTCGTTATGTGCGACTTTTCATCGAGTTTGTTCAGCACCTTTTTCCTGAGAATCAAAATAACCACGTAGGCTGGGGTAACGGGAAGTGTGAGATGGAGCATGACGTATAGAGAAGATGGTTCGAACATGTTTCTGCTCCCAGTTATCGTTTTGTTAGTCAAATCGTAGGCTGCGAATCTTTTGTGGATGATTTCTGCCAATTCGATTGGCGAACCGGAGGAAGCCGTCCAACAGATCTGGAAAAATTTGCTTTTCAAGAAATTTTCGTATTGAATACCAATTGTATCAAGGAAGGTATGTAGATGATAAAAACCGCCAGAATAGCGCTTTTTGTGTTGTGAGCGTAGTTGAGAAGGACAAAATAACGATAGGCGAAACTTAAGAGAAGGGACCATAACGAGTGTGAAACCATGTGGAGCATTATATTGTGACTGAAAAATGAAAATAACAAGTTTCGAAATGAGTAGCCTGGGGAAGGCCGTGTACACTTGTGTATTGCCTAAACACGAAGAAAAAAATGAAATAAAATAAGAAAATGACTAGAGTGTCGCATAATATCGAATAAAATAATAAGCTTTGATTACACCGAGAAGTTCAAAACGAACGCTGTAAAGCAAGCAGAATGACCGAGGTAAGTGCAAGGCCCAGTGGAAATAAAGGCTAAAACAACACCGGTTGGAATGACTCTGAAATAAATTAATTGAGAGAAGAAGTTTTTGAAACATCATATGTTGGTTGGGACATTGAAATAGTAAATTGAATAGTTCTTATGAGTTCTGTAGTTTTGGCTTTAGATCTCATTTTTATAATAGCTCATTCTCACCTCTGTTGGACAAACCAATCGCAGATGCAAATAATCAGATCCGTCACGGCGAAATTCATAATTAGAATCGAATAGGTTTTCATTGCTTTCGGAGACTTTTTGGCCAACAAATAAATTAATACAGAATTAAGGAAACATCCTATGGAAGCTACAGAATAATGGTAGATTTTGAACGCGGTTTCCATTTTCTTTTTCTTTTTTTTGCAAGGCTAGTTCAAGATTCGTATGAAAAAATCTCTATTTATATTTGTGAAAGTGTACTTTTAGGTTAAAGTTAACCGTCTGCAGATAAATCAAAACAAGAAGTTAATTAATTTCGAATTTTTTTGTTCTTTGAAAGCGTGGGAATCCGATTATGCGTTTCCTGTTTTTTTCTAAAACGATTTTCAGATATATTGAGATGAAAATTTTTCATCAAAATGGTATATTTGACTAGTTAACGTTGGAAACACGGTTACTAATGGTTTTAGGAGTTTTTAAGATTTCAGTCTTAGTGACGGTGAAGGAAAAGCCAAAAAAGTTTAAAAGAAATCCAAGCTTTCTCAGAACTTCCTCTCGGAATGGACGAATCAAATAAATTGAAGTTAGCGGAGATAAGACAGGAATAAGAACGGATAAAGAAAATGTGGTATATTCCAAGCCAGGATGGTTGTAGATCCCGATTTGTCCGATCGCGTAGGCTGCCACGGCGAACCAGTAGAGCCCAGGTAAACATGCTTGAATGGTCAGAGACTGAAAAATATAAAAGGTTGAGAAATGAAAATATATGGGAACAAGAAAGGTTTAACCATAAAACAAGAAACATCCATTTTAAAGTTAGATTTACATAGAAGGCTATCGAAATGGTTTTTTTCACGAAAATCAGCTAATTTTTGATATATAGGGTACTGTTATTCAAGGTGGTATGAAAAAAACACCAACGAAAATTCAAACGGCGACTTTTTCCGATTTTTTTCATATCGCTAGGGAACTTTCCGACGGCCACTTTTCCGACGAAACCCTTTCCGGCTTTTTTTCCCTTATGTTTTTTTCGGTTTATAAAATATCTATAAACTTTTTTTCTATTTCTTTGTGTTTTAAACATGACCCACTACTTACTTTATATAGGAAGGATCAAAACAAAGATTTTATCGAGAAAGAACGTCGGAAAAAGATTCGTCGGAAAGTTCCCTAGCGATATGAAAAAATCGGAAAAGTCGCCTTTTGAATTTTCGCTGGTGTTTTTTTCATACCACCTTATTCAAAGTTTCAGGCCTAGATCCTGTGCTAAAAACGACTTTGAAAATTAAAATTTTGACCAAAACCATTGATAATACCATTTTACCATAATACTGACTTTGAAAAAAAAAAAACTAACTTTGCTCTTTTTTGAAGAATATTATAGAATTGAACAGGCATGAAAAAAAAATGAATGTTGGGAAATGAAGATAAATGCAAAAATAAAAAGAAGACCAATCGGTAATTTTGATTTTCTTTTTTTTACTTTTGATTTTCGACGAAGTTCACGCGTTATGTTTCTTTAGATCCGTTCTCAAAAGCCGAGTTACTGGAAAACAGCCCACCTTGAGCAATTGTCGGTGAACGATTTGCGTGTTGATCCGAGTGTAGTGAGCACTTTTATCGAGTGTATCCAAAATCTTCTTTCTCAGAATCAAAATAGCGACGTAAGCTGGAGTGACAGGAAGTGACAGATGGAGCATGACATACAAAGAAGCCGGTTTGAACATGTTTTTGCTCCCAGTTATCGTTTGATTTGTTAAATCGTAGGCTGGGAATCTTTTGTGAATGATTTTGGCCAATTCCGATGGTGGACCCCAGGAATCCGCCCAGCATAACTGAAAAAGAAACATTTCTTAAAAAATCTTCATTGGAAGATTCGAATAGACCACTTTCAATGTCATTTTTGAGGTTTGAACCGACCAGTTGGATCAAAGAAGGAATGTAGATAACAGCAATCGCTAGAATAACGCTTCGAGAACTGTGAGCGTGATTGAGAAGGACAAAATAACGGTAGGCAAAACTCAGAAGAAGCGACCAAAGGGAATGGGAAGCCATGTGGAGCATCATATTGTGACTTAAATTCGATAATATTTAGTTTAGACTTTGCTTAAAAGAAAAGTCATTTTACTGAGTCGCTGAGCTTCATCTGAAAATTGGCCAGAACACTCCTTGACGTACCAGACGCCTCAAAATCAAATGAAAGTTTGTGCAGGCTGAGACTTTTAGAATTTTCTTTTGGTACATCAAAAAGTGTTCTAGAAAGTCTTCAGGAAATCAACACTCGCAAAGTGAAATGACCTTCCTTGTTAGCTCATTGGCAAACAGCATGACTTTCAAAACGAACGCTGTAAAGCAAGCAGAATGACCGAGATAAGTGCAAGGTCCACTGGAAATGAAAGCTAGAGCGATTCCAGTTGGAATAACTCTGGAAATTATGATGAAAATTAATTGGCCAAAACAGCATTTGATTTATGGGCTCCTTTCGGATTATTTTTTGTATCTTACAAAAGGTTATAAGATTATTCGAGCACAAAAGGGACAAGTATATTTCAGGACGCTTATAGGTGAATTTCGAAGCAGTACGCGTTGAGTTCAGTCTGAATGAGTGAGCGGAAAAATTCCAATAGCGTTTTGTAGTTCTCAAGTTTCAGTGCCAATTTTTCTCAGAACATCCTAATAGTTCATTTTCACCTCTGCTGGACAAAAGCGTCACAAACGCAAATAATCAGATCCGTCACCGCAAAGTTCATAATAAGAATCGAATAGGTTTTCATGGCTTTCGGAGACTTTTTGGCCAACAAATAAATCAAAAAAGAATTCAGAAAACATCCAATCGAAGCGACAGAATAATGGTAGATTCTGAAGGCGGTTTCCATCGCTTCTCGAGGTTCTGATAGTGAATTAACAGATTCGATTTTATATTCTCCACAAAAAGGGCAATTAAAGTCAAGGTCAAGCGTCAACGAAATCATCAAAAACAAGAATTCAATTATCTTTTTAAAATCCTCGGCTGTAATTTTTGGAAAGGGCACTTGAACCTGCAAATGATATCAATAATATCCTGTTTTTGATTCAATTTGAAAAATTTCAATAACAATGAAAGCAAATCTGACGTTGAATCTTTTTTTCATTCTTGAAAAATTGAAATAGGTCAAGACAATAGATCAAGACAGCTGAAGTGTTTTATTTTTCGGTTTTATTTCTCGGAAATTCAGTGGAAATCTGACTTCAACTTTATCATAAACGAAATTTCAATACTTTCAATTTATTTGCGAAGTCAAGATAGTGTTCAAAGAGGAGTACGTCTTGACAGTTTGCGGCTTCTTTCAATGCCTCTGGTTTTTTTAATGCGTTAGTCGTTTTGAGTCGGTCGCGTTTCCAAGCAATGCAATGTCAAGCTAATCAGTTAGTGACATGTTTTCGATGACAAATGGAATCTCAAGGAAAAATCGAAGATGGTGTTTTTACGTGTTGGAAGAGTTAACATCAGAAATATGGTAGGATGAGATTTTGGATGTTTCGCTTTGAGACACAGGAACAGTAATACCAAATAACGTCAAGATAGGTTCAAGCTTATCAAGGACTGCTTCTCGGAAAGGGCGGATAAAATAAATCGAGGTTAAGGGAGACAAAACTGGAATTAAGACAGTCAAAGAAAAAGGAGCATATTCTAAGGCTGGGTAATTGAAAATTCCGATTTGGCCAATCGCATAGGCGGCAACGGCGAACCAGTAAAGCACAGGGAGACAGGCTTGAATTGTCAGGGACTGAAAATGGACAAAATTAAGATTCGGAAGTTAAAGAGGAAGGCTTAAAAATCGAATAAAGATAGAATAGATATCCCGAAGCGAACCTCACCTTGAGCAACTGTCGATGAATCATTTGCGTACTCTTCCGAGTGATGTGCAAATTTTTCCCGAGTTTTTCCAATATCTTCTTTCTCAGAATCAAAATAGCGATGTAAGCTGGAGTGACAGGAAGCGATATATGGAGCATGACATACAAAGAAGCCGGTTTGAGCATGCTTCTGCTCCCAGTTATCGTTTGATTCATTAAATTGTAAGTCGGAAATCTATCATGAATTATTTCCGCCAACTGGACTGGTGCGTCCCAAGAAGCCGCCCAGCATAACTAAAAATTAATGAATCAAGATGGGAATTCAACAAAAAAAATTTTTTTTCAAACATCTATCAATATCATTATCCTAAACTGTCAGTTTACAAAACATTTTAGCAGTACACAACTTATGCCATAAACTTTCAATCAATACAAAAGATTCACACCGAGCTCCCATTTCAATGACGAAGGGGTATCTTGCCAAGTCCGATATCATGACTAGATCCGTCTTTGGGATATGAATTTTTTTTTTTGGAGATTTCTTTTTTCAAAAATAAGCACTATAGACTCTTTCGCTGCCTAAAGCGAAACTGAGAGAGAAAAATTATTCAAAGGCTAGGGGCAGTGAAAATGGGCCTTGAGACAAGTATACCATTTTGTAGAGCTTTTTCTCGCTTGTCGAACGGTGATCTTGAAAATTTACAGACCTTTCTGATTGCGGATAAAAAATAAATTTAAAGTCGGAGAAAGGCAAGTTTGAGTTCCCGCCAAAAGAACGTGTTGCAGTAAAGTTGCTCTATGCGCTTCGCCATTTTTCGGATTTTTGCTTTTTTCTTCGTTTTTTTTCAAATTTCGTTTTTTTCTGTTGTCACTGAAGTTCTTTTTTTCGTCACAAAATGTTCCTGTTCATGTATATTTTGCAAGATTTGATCGGAAAATGCTACGCTGGTGAAAATAAAGTATTTTACACTGGTTTAGATTGGGTAATCGATAACTTTTGTTTCCTTTATTATCGGTGTGTTTTTCGTTTGACTTGATGTTTTTTTTCCCGAAAAGTTAAAAGGCAGAGAATGAAATCACGCTCTTCAAAAGTACTCTTCTCTGTGCTTTTTTGAGTAGACCGTTCGATTCGCAATGAAAAACTCTACAAGATGCTGCTTTTACCTGAAACTCCGTTTCACTGCCCCTATGCCTTTGAGATTTTATAGTTCGAAAACTCACAAACTGAATCAGAGACGGTATGTAGATAACAAAAATCACTAGAATAACGCTTCGAATACTGTGAGCGTGGTTGAGCAGGACATAATAACGATAGGCGAAACTTAAGAGAAGAGACCATAACGAGTGGGAAACCATGTGGAGCATTATATTGTGTCTGAAAAATCAGAAAAAAAAAAGTTGGCACAACGAAACGTTCAAAACTCACGCTGTGAAACAAGCTGATGGACCAAGATAGGTACAAGGTCCACTGGAAATGAAGGCCAAGGCGGTACCCGTTGGGATAAGTCTGAAAAAAGTTTTTTTTTTCGAAAAGGAACTGTCTCGAATTTTCAGAGTAATTTTTTTAAAATCAAATCAAACAGTTTTGAATCGAGCTGGGAAAAATACGAAAATTTTTTTTGTTTTCTCGTCATTTTAGCATTTCTCCGTGTTTCTAGCCTTCAAAAGCTTGAGACATTCTCATAAACAGCTTGGAATTTTCCTCGAAAGCCTCACCTCTGTTGAACAAATCCGTCGCAGATGCAAATAATCAGATCCGTCACGGCAAAGTTCATGATAAGAATCGAGTAGGTTTTCATAGTCTTTGGCGATTTTCTAGCCAGTAGATATATCAGGAACGCATTCAGAAAACATCCAACCGAGGCGACAGAATAATGGTAGATTCTGAAGGCGGTTTCCATCGCACTTTGTAGCTCTATAGAAGAGATTTCCATTTCTGAATTTGTTATCTTGTATTCCCTGCTGAACTTTCGTAGAAAACAAGTTTATAAATAAGTCCAGTCTCGACGCTTTTGTATTTGGAAAGTGCGAAAAGGCTCGGAAATTGGCTCAATTGTAGTTTACGTATATTTATTTTGCAAGGCAAAGCTTGTAAGATATACATGTGACATAGAGAAAATGAGCAAACACTTTTTTTTTATAAAAAAGGAGCATGTTAGAGGGAGAAATAAGGGACGCGTAAAAGAGCGATATAGTTTAAGGGGTACAATGGTGTAGTGGCTAGAGATCTAGAACGTTGCTGATGAGGTCGAGGGTTCGGATCCCCTCGAGGCAAAACTTTTTTGTCGGTTATCTTTATTAAAAAAATTCAACAATTTATTTGGAGTACTGCTTTTTTTTGTTGAAAAATCGTTTTCATAACATTTCTAGATTGTTTTCGCGAATGAATTGAATTAATTTTCAAACCTATGACATTTCCTCGGAAAAATATTATTTCAACAATTTATGAGCCTCAAATTGGTTCAAAATGAGAAATTGCAAAAATGAATGATTACAGATCGAGGGAATTTGATAATCTATGAGAGCCGATTGCAAAATGAATGAAAAAATAGTTTCTCGAATGAAAAAAAAAGCTACCGATTAGAGGCAGACAGAGGAGTTATTTATCAAATGAGAAGAAAAGAGATTTTTTTATTTTATTATTTTTTTCTGAACAGGAAAAAGCACCAACGACCTTCAACCATCTCAATAACCAAAATAATGAATTTCTGTGAATGACAGCCGGAAAATTGAAAAATGAACTCTCTTCTTCATGAAGCTTCCAAAGGAAAGGTTGTTGGAAAAAGTCATGAAGATGACTAATTTTATAAGTTTTAGCAGAAAAGATCAACCCGGAAGTGCAAATTTTCAAAAGTTGGCACAAAGTTAGGCCGAAAGTCAGTGGATCAGGTTCAGTTAAGAAAAAGGGACATCTTCAAATTTACTTTTCAAAGTTATGAGCAGATCGTAGTAGGAGGTTTAATAATTCCCTCCGAGGAATTTCTATAACTTTTTTTATTTCGAAAAGGAAGTTAGGTGAACTCGTCATTAACTGGAATTCTTAAAAAAAAAAAAGCCATTTTTTTGAGCTATAAATTGGACGAAATGAAACTTTAGAAGAAGACTCCAAAGTTTCAAAGTTTAAATTGTTTCAGAAATGGCTTCTCCTTTTTTTCTGACGACACTAACAACCTCATTAACTTGCGATAATCGGTTTTCCAATTAAAATTTAACTCAATAATTACTTTCGTCTGCAGTTTTTTTATACCTCGAAAAACCTTTTTTTCCGGGAGAAAGATGAGTTTCGAACTTGAAAACGATTAGATTTAGAAGTTATGATCTCGAAAATCTTTCATCAAGTTTTTCATTTGAAATATGAGTCGAGAAATCTTTTTATTTATTTCAAAAAAATTAGCAAAAAAATAAGAGCTTCACGCTTTTGCGTCGAATCATTCTCCTTGAACTGAAAAATTTCCTCTTTTTTTCTCAATTAAAAAAATGAAACCATGAAAACTGACCTAGACTGTTTGTACGTTAGAGCGAGTTTAAACAGAATAAAATTGCGCATTTATTGTTTTTACATTCAAAAATAGCCATTTCCATAAATCGCCTTTTCAATTTTGTGAAGTTCATCATCAAAGAGCGCCTAAATTGCCTTTTATCTATTTATTGCGCGTTTGTCTGCTATTTTTTCGTCTATCTCCTCTTCTTGAAAATTATATTCTGTCTTTGCCTGTGAATAAAGAATTCCTAAAAATGATATGGGCATCAAGATAGAAAGGCTTTTTTGGCTATATTCAGCAAATTACTAGAATGGGAACAGTAAAAAAATGTTTTTTTGAATATTTTTTTGAGAGAAAGCAGTTATGGTCGCACTTGGAATGGCTTGGAGGGTCTGTTTCCTGATGAACATACAGTACCGATCACAAAGATACGAAATCTCATATTTTTGACTATAACTTTTTTCACACATCTTCGAAGCGTCGAAAATCCCTGCCATCTCTTACGGTACCGAAGTTTGGACTGACACGAAGAAAAATGCAACCGCCCTACGAACTTCCTACCGCGCACTGGAACGTTGCTCTCATCGGCACCACTCGCTTCGAGCACTGGAAAAAAGAACAGAGGAGCACAGACCTCTGTCAACTGTCCCAAATCCGGGATCTAGAAGAGCACATAAAACGCGGGAAACATCGTTGGGGCGGCCACGTCATCCGCAGACAAGACGACCGCTGGTCCACGAGATTAACACACTGGATTCCGAGAAACATCAAGCGCCCACTCGGGCGCCCACCGACCAGATGGACGGACTACTTCCGCACGAACATCAGTCAGCCAGGCCGCCACTGGATGACCGTCGCGCAAGACCGAGCCGCCTGGAGAACGTGTGGTCCACGCTGAGAAGCGAAGATGGACCATCAAAGTATCAAAGTAAAGTAACTTTTTTCAATCAATCCCGATCGCTTTGAAACTTTACAAGATATGTAATACGACCCGATACACGTTACTGGAAACAAAAAGCCTTTTTAACTGAAAGAGATTTTCAAAACATGCCCAAAGCACGGGATCCGCCAAAAATCGCCTAAAAGCGAAATTTTTTTGAAAAGCCCGCTACTCAGGAAAAAAACTTTCAAAGTATATTTTGAAGCTGTTTTTACTTATTCTACAGTCTTACAAAGAAATTTGACAGCTTTTCAAGCAACGAGAAAATTTATTTCCTGCCTAAAAACGGACTCAAATAAGACGCCAAGTCAGCGAAGTTATTTTTCAGGATCCTCCCTCAGAAATATCGACCTAATTAATTGAAAAATCTAGTTCAAAACAATCAAGAAGCTGAGAAAATATAGCAAGGTTCCCATCATCGGAACACTTTGAAATGGGAAAAATTTGGAATTTCGCTCGACCCAAGACTTCCGAGAATGGGAACCTCACTTTTTTTTAATTATACGCTTTTTGATAGTTTTCAACTAGATTTTTCAACTAATTAAGTCGAAAATTTCGAGGGAGGTTCCTGGAAAATAACTGACGTGTTTTATTTTAGCTCGTTTTTGGACAGGAAATAAATTTTCTAGTTGCTTCAATTTCTGTCAAATTTATTTGAAAGACTTGTAGAACAAGAAATATTTTTTTAAAAAGATCCCTAACAAAATGATCATTTTTTTAAAATTTGATATCATAAAAGAAAGTCTATTGATTTTTTTGAACATTTCTTTAAAAAAATCCCACGACATTAAGAAGATAGAGATAAAATGAGTATTCTCTGGCAGGAGCTGGCGTTTAAACCCTGAATATTCGAGTAGGAAAGAGAAAAAATTTCTTATTTCTCGAATCTTTGATCTTTGTTTTATTGGAATCCTGGGCCTTTTCTAACAATTATATTTTTTTTTTCAATTAAATTATCTAACTCAGTTTTTTTCTTTGGTTTTCTGAAAACCACTTAGAAAACAGCTTTTTTTCATTTCTTAAGAAGTCGCCCTTCTATCTCAAATTTTATTTACATATTAAACTTCGAAGAAAAACAATTCAAAGAGACAAAAATATTACAAAAAGGTACCCATAAGCAAAGAAATTAATCACAGAAACTGAATATAGAAACGGGAGAAAAAAAACAAACCCAGGTAAATTTTCTAAAATTTCAAATACTCCAAAAAGTTACAGCCCCAAAGTTAATTATAAAGCAGAAGAAATTCACAATCCATTAAAAAAAAGGCAAGATTAAAAGATAATGCGTAATTACACACAACAACAATCATGGAGCTCTATTTATAGGAATTAGAAAAAAGCCAAGAATCTCTTTAAAATGAGCAATAAAAGATGAAAAAAATACCAAAAAAATAATTTGAACAGAAACAAAAAGCAATTTTTTTAATAAAAAAAGACAGGAAAAAAATTCTACAAACGAGAATAAAATTAATGGGAATGTCCAGAGGCCAAAATGGCTGGAACAACGGCCCCTCCAATGATCAGCAACAGTTCCCGGCAATTGTAACTCGGGCCAGCTGGAATATTTTTATCCTTATTCTCGGAAAAAAATGTCAGAGAAAATAGCAGAATTTATTCAAATTTTTCATTACAAGCTTTGCAGAGCCTTAAAATTGCAAGGAAAGCCTTCAGATCCATTGTAAAAAAAAGTTTCCTTGATAAAATTTCAAAAATTTCATACACTTGTGCTCTACAACGGATAATAGCGCAGTTATTCAATTTTTTCCGAAGGAATTTTTCTACATCTCGAGAAGCCTAGGAATTATTTGAAAATCGAGAAAATGCGGCTTAATGAATTTTGTCCGTGGAGCGCACTTGGCCCAATTTACCAAAACTTCATTACAGTAAATTTGACCGAAAAACTTATCATCTAAAAAAATTGGATCTGAAAATCGAATCTGCGCTCATTGTAAAAATTCACAAAAAATTTTTTTCTTTTTATTCAACACTTTTTCTAAAATTTTGATTTTTCTCTCTTATTCCTAGAAACTATTATGAAACCCTGCCTTTTTTTTCAAAATAAGTTAGTATCCGTTAAATTTGAGTTACGAATGAGGACAATTCTTGAGAAAATAACATTTTCTGGTGGAAAAAAGGGTAAAAAATTACCAGAATGAGAATGACCACCAATGGAAGCTGGGGCTTGGGCGTCGACAACCAGGGAATAATCCGACGTTTTGTGATTGGCCTGGAAAAATATATAAATTTTTTTCTATCGATAGAAAAGAAACAGGTCTTTCGGAGATTTGAAATAATTTTGGAAATATTGCAAGCAATTGTTCAAAAGGGTTCTAAAAAAAGGAGTAAAATTACCAATTCAGGGAGGACATGAACGGTTGCGACGTACAAAAAGGTGCCAGCCGAAAAAAAGCATCAAAATTCCAGTCCAGGACTCGGACCGCAGTGATGAATCCTCCATCTTAAGGTAAAATGGTGATTTTTTTCATGAATTTCAAAGATTCTCTTGAAAATTACGTGCGAAATCCCTAATTTCAGAAAAAAAAACTTTGAACAAAACTTCCAGAAAACTATTTTTTTGGAAAGTAAAACAGAAATTTTCCGTTTTTCACGTCTATCCCCTCATTTCAGTTTTTTTAAATTTTTTTAAAATTCAGGCCGAGCGCCTGAAAAAAAGCATCCATTTGTTTGCCCTAATTTAAATAAATAAATAAACCTTGTTGATTTTTTTCAAAATTCAGTTCTATTTTTTTAATAGAAAAAAACTCACAACGTTCATAATCAAGAGGAACGTGACAAGGGCGGCAAAAGGTGCGGCGAACGAGAAAATCATCAAATGCTTCCGAATTGCTCGTCGATCGATCGATTCGACCAATAGGAATGATACTAATCCGAAAGCTGCTGGGGCCTGAATTCAAGAAAGTTATGTTAATATAAATCCATATTTCAAAATAAAGATTTGCTTAAGAAATCCATAGTGGTCTTTATAGGGATTGACCGAAAAAGTGGTCCCTATAGGTCAAAATTAAGGTGGTCCCTATAGGGGCTTGTGGCCTTTCCCCCTAGCCTCTAAAGCTCAAGTGGACCCTATAGGGCATTTATCGACTAGCATGTCCCCTTAATGGACAAAAACTATAACCCCTATAGGGACCACTTTTGAAAACTTTAGTGATCCCTATAGGAGGCCGTCGAAGGGCCCCTATAGAGACCCCTCTGGAGTTTCTAAGCGGAATCTCAAGTATTGGCCATTTTTAACTGCCTTCGGACCTTTTCAACTTTTACGAAAAGGTGAAAATGCAGCGAAAAACCTCATCATATTTATTTATTTCCTTCTTTTTCACCTGCCATCAAACTCGAAATGCTCACTTTTGATATAAAACTTCATTGAAAGAAAATGGAAATTGTTATTTTTCTCCTCTTGATTGGCCTTGCCCAATTGATAATCCTTCCTTCCCTTCATATCATCTTCATCTATATTTTGATAAAGTGCTATTCTGAAGACAAGAAGGTATAGTCAAAGTGAAAGCACTTCAAACAAAATTGAAAAAAAGGGCAAAAAGAGTAATTTCGATTTTTGGTTAAGAAATTACTTCAAGAGGCCTGGAAATCTTTCAATGTAAAACCGGAAAAAAAAACAATTAAATAATATTTTTGGAAATCCTGGCCTCTCAAAAAGTATAAAAGACGATTTTTAGAAAAAAAAACATTTAATTCAAGTTATCTTCTCAAATGGGACAAATATTCATTTTTAAGTGACCACTAAAGCGGCTCCTAGAGAAGTCCAATGATACTGCTGCAATTCTTTCATTTCTCAAAGTTTCTTTCCTTTTATCATTGAATAAGTTAAGCACGACTACTACGCGGCGGTCCCTTGTATGGAATTAGTCACATTGATTGGATTCACTGGTCCGATTTTCATGCTAACGTCTGATTTTTCCGACGAAATCGCCGACATCGTCCAGTACTACTTTCTTTTCAGCATGTGCTGTCCCCATATTCTGATATTCATTGACGCGATTCTGTGCCTTCACAGACTTTTTAGCTTTTTTGAAAAGGCGGACTGGTTCACCAGACATTTCAAATGGTGAGGATTTTTTGGATATATGCTCAAAATTTTGTAGCAAATTTGAGTAAACATACAAAAGGACACGGTACTAATTTTTTGAAGGAAAATTTTTGTGAATGGGGAAACTCTTACGAAAATGAGGGTGTAAACCGCGGTGAACCCCAAAAAAAAGAGAACTTTTCGCTGATGTTCGATCTGAATGGCAGGCACCCCCTTCCCCCGGGTCGAATAAAAAGTCTTCTTTGAGCTATCGGAACAACTCAAAATGAAACTTTAGACAATGGAAAATAAGGGAGAGGGAGTTCAACACAGGTGCACCGTCCCTTTTGTTAGAGTAGTTAGAGGTTTGAGTATACCTCAAAAAAAAAAATACAGGTTTTTTTTTCTTTTTTCGCAACGAGATGCTTCAAAACTGCAGAAAACTCTCAAATTCAAGAATTCCAGGCCTTTGGCCCTCACTATCCTCATTTCAATCCCACTATCTCTCGTTATGATGACTTATTCGGCATGGAACTCCGATCCTAGTGCGGAGAAACTTGCGAAAATCCAAACAGCTTATAATGTGAGGTTTCGGGTCATAGAAGCTCTTTTCTAATGCTGTTTAAGTCGGTATTTTTTTCAAATTTCAAAGTTTCAATTCCAACTCCTGATGAGCCATTTTAAGTTATCTTTCATTCTCACAATGATACTAATAGTTTTCACGTTATCGGGTTATATTCTGCTCCTTTGGGTGGTCCATCGAAGGACAAAGCTGATCCCTTCAAATTCTCAAAATCGGAATCATAAGACCATCGTTCTTCAGGCTTTGCCCATATCAATCTACTCTTTTGTGAGCTTCTTCTTTTTGAGAATACTTGCTTATTTTCAAACAGATAACGTCTTTCGACTCTGCCCTTATGAAAGCTCCTTCCGAACAAAAATTGGAAGGAGGAGTCGCATCGATGTTATATATTATTAATGTTTTGATTGCAGGTTGATTTTTAGCTGATAATTCATGAAAACTGGAATATTTCAGCTTACACCGTGCCACTATCTTTCATCATTGGGAACCCGAAAAAGAGGAAAATTTTCATATCCCTATTGAGGATGAAATTCACTCGGAAGAACAAAATATCACCGGCACCGCAAGTGGTTGCTTTTACAGAAAATATCAGAGTGACTTGAACAAAAGTTTTCGATTCTCTGCTTCGTGTTATTGAGAATAAATCACTTGTTTCTGGACCAAATTGGTCAAAATTCTCGATTGACCTCAGCTAGAAAAACTCTTCTCAAGCTCATGATTCAAAAAAAAAAACCACTGTTTGTCTTTTGTCAAGGTTCTCAAATTAGGTGAATTGATAGAACAAGAAGATTTTTTTGTTTCTTCAAATCATCATAATTTCTTTAAAACACAAGAAAGTTGAAAAAAATCTGGAAGTGATGAGCTCTAAAGAAACTTCAGCCAAGTTTAATTGAATTCTCAAAACTTTACTTTTTACTTTTTTTGTTAGAATGTAGTGACCAATAAAAAAGATTTCAATTTTCTATTTCGCGTTATTTACAATAATTTGATTGTTTCTGGATCAAAACAGTCTAACTTTTTCAATGAAAAGAGGTAGAAACCTATTTTGAAGCATCTAGATTCTAAATCAATGGAAAAAAAGATTTTCGGCTTTTTAAAAGCGTCAGAACTTCATCAAAAAGCAAAAGGCGTTAAAAAATAAAGAAAAACCGTGTTACATAGAACTCTCAAAAAAGTAATTTTCGCCCTTCTAAACTGTCGTTAAATCGCAACTTTTTCTCATCATTTTTCTTAAGCCAGTTTCTTTTTCAATAAATCGATTTTTGCGAAAGAGGTCAAGCGAACCTTATGTAGCATAATGGCCACGAAAACGATCAACTGCACGTCGGATTTGTTGATTACCGAAGCACTTCCGAGGGCGACGCCGTCGGCTGAAAATTAGGGATATTTTTTGGTACTTCACGTGGAAATTTAGAAAAAAACTGCACACCGTCAGAAAAGATACGAAACGAAGTTTTTTTTTTGATTTCCATTTTTTTCTGTGAAGAGTTTAATCTTTCTGTAACTTTCCAGACTGTTATTTGTAGCACTCGGTACTTCGGTCTGCAGAAGTAAAAAAAAAACGCAAATTCATAGAATTTTAAAAAGAAAGAGCCCCATACCCGGACAAAGTTCAAGACGTCTCAAAAAGGACTTTTAAATAAAAGGTCTCAAAGCCGCCTTTTTTTCTAGACCTCTTTCAAAAAGGATATTTTAAGAAAGTGTAAAAAAAAGGTGTAAAAAAAGAGATCCCGAGAGACTTTTGACACCTTTTTAAGAACTCAAAAATGAGCTTTGGGCTCTTTTTAAGGCCTTTTTGAGGTCGTTGGGACTTTTTCTGTAAAACGAGGGAGTCGTGAGCAAACAATTTTTTCTTGTCTTTTCTGAGGGTAGTAGAACTGAAGAGAAAAAGGAGACTTATAAAGAGAATCTGGCGATTTTCAGAAGTTTCTTAGAGAAAAAAATACTCGCAAAGACATGAATTCTATCTGAAAGTACGATAAAAATGAGGATTGAGAGACTGTTCACCGCAGTTTTAGAGAAATTTCAGTGTTTTAAACTTTTTTTTTCAAAACTACCTGCAGCATGGACAACCAATCCAATAGTTGCCGAGATTCCAATACGACTTCTACCAGCTCGATCATCTAGAAAAAAGGGATATCAATTTTTTGTCGGAAAAGGAGTTTAAAAAATTATTTGACCCTTCAAACTGGGAAATAAAAAAAATCACAACTTTTCTGGACCCTTTTTTGTCGCTTTTTAATGAACAATCTGAATTTTTTTTGGATTTTTCTTATCAAACTTCAAGAGACGTAAGCACTAGAAATATGGTGAATTTTTTTAAAATTATTAAAAAAATCATTAAAAAAAGCGATGGAACATTGTTAAAAAAATAGGAGAGGTTCCAATTTATAGTTTTTTTTTAGTTATTAACACAGAATGATATTTAAAAAATGAAAATGATACTGAAACTGACTTCGAGAAACAGCCGCGCTGCCGATTTGGTCCACCAGAAGCATCAGTACGAATCCGGCGACTAATGAAGTTCCGATTTGATTGTGGATATTGTGAGAATGCGAGTGTTCCTCCTTATGATCGTCCTGTTGATTCGTGGCACTGTTCTCCTTGATCGTATGAGATTCGTGGACTGAAAATGCAGAGGAAATCATGGAAAAAACTGATATTTCTGTAGTTTTTTCTTCATAAATCAAGAAAACATTCTAAATACAATACACTCCTATTTCACAGATGTAGCTCTGAAGATACGAATTTTGCACCTTGATCTTATAAAATGTGACAAATAATTAATAGAGCTGTATTTTTTTCCGTGTATGCTATATTTTTCAACTAACAAGGAAGGTCCTTCTGCTTGTGAATTTTCTGAAAATCGGCCAAGTGGCTCCAGAAGAAAATCCTGAAAGTCTCAACCTGCCCAACTACCTGGTTCTTGGGCAAGGCCACCCGAAAGACAAAAAAAACTTAAATATCCCAAAAAATGAGCTATTTTGATTCTTTGAGCCCTTATTTCCCGAAGACTAAGAAGTTGTTCCGGTTGAGACTGTCATTTAAAAAAGATGAAAAAATGGTTGAATATATTCCTGTTCCAATTTACAAGCGCTTATTTCAAATAATAGTAAGAAACGCATTAAACAAACTTCTTTTCTTACGATTTACTTTCAAATTTAACAATAAAAACAAACCTGCTTGCCGTTTCGATCTCAAACCTTGAACACGCTGGCTAACTTCCTCAGAAGGTACCCTTCTCACTGCTCTAGCTATTCTGAACACCACAATTTGATTTATAAACCACGAAAAAAAACGTACGCCTCATTTAGAACCGCATCTTTTGGAATGATCCTCGGCAAGTCTTCGTTATTCTGCTTGTCTTTCGTGTTTTCCAAAAGTTTCTTGGCTTCTGCCGGGTTAACAACAGCCGGAACGTGATGTTCGTGAGAATGATGGGCATCTGAAAGTTTTATATCAAGCTCAAATATAGTCAACCGCTTAAAAACCGTTCTGAGCGGCGTAAAGTGACTCAACGCCTTCTGGAATGATAACCGAGAGAGCTGTACCCACTAAGAGCCCAGCACCAAAAATACTGACCATACGTATTCGTGACTAGAATAGAAAAATCATGTAATAAAAAAAATTGACTCGAAAACCTCGGAAAGATTAAACATCAACGGGATCGAACCGGCGATGTAACTGCCGAAAAACATGGCCGTTGAAAGGACGAAAAGAAACGTTATCCCTTCGACCATCTAAATTGACAAAATTTAAAACGTAATGTGAAACGCCATGTTTGAAGATCAAGCAAAAACGAAAAGAAAAAATATAATGAAAAAACGAGCAGCAGAAACTTCGTTTTATTTTCCTTGGAAACTGCTAAAATACAGCTTTAATTCTGCTTCTGCATATTACCAGTAAAAAAATAGAAATAAGAAAAACAGATTCATAGTTGAAAAATTAAACAAATAAAGGAAATTGAAAAAAAGTTTCCGAGTCAAAACATTGCTCTGCAAGCGGCACATGGTTATTCTGCGAGTTGGGCGCGGTGAAAGTTAATATTATTTTTTTAATTCTCAATTTTTTTTTCTTTTTCAAATTTTTTTCATTGGTGTTAATACGTTCAGTTTTCAGTTGATGTCTTCATTGAAAGCAGAATTGAAGAAGGCTGCAGCTTTGTTCAAGGAGAACAAAAATGACAAAGTATTGGAGATTTTAGAGGTTTTTCTCAAGTTTCGTTCTGAAAGAATTTTTTATTTCAGCCACTCATCGAAGAAGGGGTGGCAGATTATATGCTTTTTTGCTTTGCAGCTTTAGCAAATTTCAATTTGGAAGAGTATGAAGAAGCTTCCGATTTTTTCAAGAAGGTTTTTCAAATTTTTTTTTTTCAAATTTCAAATTTTCATGTGTGAAACTGCTTCAAATTGTAGGCAGTGGAACTGGACAGTAGTAAACAAGACGCCTGGAAAGGGGCGTTCAAAATTTTGGAAAAAGACTGGAAAAGCGTAGCGAACGAGTTTGGGCTACAAGTTTGCGATAACATCATTTCGACAAGGTATTTGAAATTTTAGAACAGTGGGCTAATTTCTTCTTTTAGTGATGACAAGGCGGAAAGCGCGAAAAAATTGAAAAGGAGCATTTTATTCGAGTTGAAAAAATGGGAAGTTTTGATGGAAGATATTGGAGAAGACAAGGATTTTCTGCATTTCGTTGTGGAAAGTTTTGTCGATCGGGAGAATTTGTCAGTTCTTGAAAGGTTGTTGGTAAGATCTTCATCGAGAGACATGAAAAAAGAGAATTTTACAGTTATCAACAGTTTTCATGAAATTATTGGATCGAAACGAGATCGAATCAAACGCCGTGGTTTACCTTTCATACTGCAAATTTAGTGCGACGGTTTGTGAAAAAATGTTTGAAGATAAAAAAAAAGTTTAGGAGAAGCCAAGTGAACTGATGACATTGTTGGATGGTTTGTGCAAAACTCACGGTGAAATGAGGCAGAATTCCTGGGTTGAACAGGCCATTTTACTCAACGTTTGTGAGAGTGAGTTGATGAGAAGTCTGAAAAAAAAAAATGAAAAGTCAATATTTTTTTTAAATTTTCGATTTGAAGGCTTCTGTGGAGGTTCAAACAAAACAATTTTTTCTTATTTTTTCCATTTTTTTTTCAAATTTTTTTCCCAGTATTTTATGTTTAACATTTATCTTGTTTTAGCGCAATTCCCTCCTTTCCAAAGATTTTTTCTTCACAATCCTCAAATTCCAGCATATTTCTGCATTTCCCAAATCCCTCCGGTTTCCGTTCACATTTCCGATTCCAGTGTTATTTCGGAGAAAGTTCGGTCCTTGATCAGCAGCTTGAGGTATTTTAGAAGATTTTTTCTTGAAAATGTATTTTTTTTTTTTGAGAGAAAATGACATAACTTCGGCCCTGGAGTTCACTGATCAGTTGGGGAACGAGGAAAAAAATCACATTATCCTTTGTGTTTGCTGGATATCGTACTGCAGTCACATGCCGAAGCTTGGGAGAAGTGTGCAGAGGTGACAAAAATAAGAAATATGGAAAAAAAAACTTAGGTTGAAAAGGTCACAAAAAATGTCTCGGAATATTTTTCGAAAATTTTTTGAGTTTTCAGAATTTTTTCTATTTTTTTTTATTGAAGGAAAATATTTTTCTAAGATTTGGCTGTTTGAAATAAAATGGGTTAATTTTTTTTCTCTAGTCATTTTTATTAGGTTTGGCTGGAAAGAGCCTTTTCAGGAGAAATAAAAGAGAAAAAAACCTGAAAAAAAACCTTTTTTTAAAAAAACTAAAAAAACTGGAAAAAAACCTCAGGTAAAAAGTGAAAAAAAGAAGAAAAAAAGAAACTAAAAAAAGTTTGCTAGAAGGTTTTTTTGAAATTCCTGGGCTAAAAAAATATTTTTTTAATGCTTATGAACGATTCCTTGAATTTTTTTAACGATTTTTTTCGTAAGCTTTCCAAAAAAATAGAAACTCTGTTAATTTGTCATTTTTATCCATGGAATGCATTAACTAAGAACTTTTTCTCGATTTTTCCAGCTCCTCCAAGTCGCTTGTAAAACTCCAAACGCCGAGGTGGAAAATCACCTCAACGGCTGGAAAGCTCGGGCGTTCCTCGAAGCTTTCCATGACCCGAAAACGGCCGTTTCTTCTCTAAATCGACCGTTACCTCTGCCTAAATTTCTCCGGGAAGAGGTGAAAATTGCGATTTCGCTGAGCGAAACAGCGAAATTGGACGATTTGACGGCCAGTTTTCCGGTGGATTCCAGGGAGAACTTGCAGATTAGGTTCGTGGGGAAAAAATATATGAAATACTTCTTTTTGTATGAATATCTTATCTTTTTAGTAGAGATCGGAAATGGATCTAGGTGTATCGAAAAATTTGAAAAAAGGTTTAAAAAAATCATATATACTTAGGAACTCCAGAGTGTCCCCTATAGAGACAATCTCAAAAGCCCTTGACAGGTACCCTTTAGGGACCACTAAACCTTGTAAAAGTGGCCCCTATAGAAAAAATGTTCTTCGATAATTGTCATGAACTCTAAGCGAAGAAGCATTTCCTTGTGAAAAACTAAATGAATAAGCGTTTTTTTTGGTGAAATTTAGAGACCCCTACAGGGACCAGTTTGGAATTCATAAGTAGATTCAGAAATGGAAGACTGAAAATTTAAACTTAACTCGAAAAATCTATTTTTTGAAACACTTTCGGGACTCATTTTGATTCAAGTATTTTCAAAAAGACGAAAAGAATGAAAAAAAGTAGACTTCCCAAGGAAAAAGTGTCATAGGGAAAGCTTTGAAAGTTTTGTTTTTAAAAAAATTTTTTTGAAAATGAAGATTTGCCTTTTTTTAAATATTTTTTTCGAATTTGAAGGCTTTTTCGTGCCTATTTTTTTATTCAAATTCCTCTCATCGAACTCTTGGAATTGATTCTAAAGGAATTTATAAGCTGAAATGAGGGAATTTTCGAAAAAAAGATGCCATATTTCTTCAGGATCCTCACATCCAACTTGAACGACCTTTCCGATTCGGAAAAAGTCGCTTTGGCTGAAAAATTGGCTTCTCATTTGGAAGCTGACTGGCAGGATTTGCTTTTGGCCGCCGAAACGAAGATTTCAGCCAAGTTGGACGCCACTTCTTTGCTTGTCAAGGTGCTTCAAAACGCTTAAAAATAAATCGAAGCGATTTTTTTTGGGTTCCAGAAGAGCTTTTTCGAGTTTTTGACAGAAAAAATGTATCCGTTTAAAGATTTAATATTAATATTTGTGATTATAAATCGGGTAGTGCACATTTGAAAGCTAGACGATTTTTATTTCTTTTTTTATTTCGAAAATTGAGCAATCTTTCTTGTTTTCTAGGACAAACATGAAGATTCTGAGCTTCTAGCTGACCAGAAGATAGTCTCAGCTCACAGTGGGACTTCGGAATGAGACCATGTTTTCTAGATGTAGTTTTTGATGCTGATTCCAAACCTGGTCTCAAAAGCTGCCTTAGGTCTGTGAAAAAAGTTATGGACCCTCAAAGTTCGAAAATTTTATTATCTCCGATCGAGCTCATTTTTGGAGGAGGGTATCTAGATCCTGTCCTTGTGGTCACGAAAAACCGATTAATTTTTACAAAAAAATCTTTTAATTTTACAAGATCTATATACCTTCCAAAAATGAGCACGAAGACCTTGAAATTTTCGACTTTTGTGGGTGCATAATTTTTTTTTTCCGAGACGTATTGGGCAATTTTTAGACCGAATTTGAAATCAGCGTGAGAAAGAAAAAAAAAAGAAAAAATGATCTTATTCAGAGGTCCCACTGTGAGCTGAGAACATTCCCTGATTCGTTTCAATATTTCTCGAAAATTCAGTTTTTTTTTTAAATTTGAACGCGATTTTTAAGTTGGTTTTTTAGAGAAAATTTCAATTTACCAAGTTTTTTTTGAGTAGATTACCTCAAAAAGGGTTAAAATTGGTGCTCTTCATTAATGAAATTTCAGACATTGAAGATCCTATTGCCAAAAATTTTCAAGTCCTAAATGTTTTTTTTAATCGATTTTTATGTAGATATCGCACAAGAAACGCTTGAAAATATTCAAACTAAAATTTATTTGCAGTTTTTCAAACCCTTTGAAGTGGTCAAAACCAATAAAAGAAAAATTTTTCCAGGCGGCCAAACTGAACCCTCGGTCCAGCCGCGTCTTCCACGTCCTCGGCCGCACTTTAGTGACCAAAAACCCAGCCAAGGCGAAAAGTTGCCTGGAAAGAGCCGTCCGAATCCGACCCTCCAACGAGGAATACGTCCGGGAGCTGGACCAGCTCCTGGAAAAGTCCGAGGCTCCGGCCAACGAAAGATTGGCTCATCTGAAGCGATTCGTCGCGTTGAGAGGCCATATCAGGCCTCTTTGGCTTGGCGAGAAGTTTGCCGAGTTGGTTTTTTGTGATAATTTTTTGAAATTTCAAGTAAAAATGTTGATTCGATTAGATAGCAGTCGCATTGGGGTCTAAAAAAATTTAAAAAAATTGAAAAATTCAGTTTGAAACAAAAAAAGTTAGATCTTTCAGTTAGATCTAGTTTAATAAAGTAATATTTTTTTAAACCTCTTATTTTTTTCACGGTGTTTTTTTGGTATTTTAATAGTTATAATATTTTTTTCCGTAAAGTGTAGTGTGTTGTCTGCATGCACCACGGCGCTCTCGAGTACATCATTAAAAAAAATTTTTTTTTGATTCGAAAGAAAAAAATTGAGGTAATGTGCAAAAAGAGTAATTACCTGAGTTTATTGCGGAAATTTTTCGTTCTCATAGCCTTGGTGTTGATGGATTATACTTTAATAAAACCCATTTATTGTGGAACTTCGTATAACTTGCTTTACCGTTTCATGAAAACTTTATATGTTTAACTTCAGGAATGGTTTTGTTTCTCAAGGCACCTGTTTCTTAATATCAAGCTTTTATGATGGTTTTTCGGGAGTTATTTAGTTTTTTATTGGTTTTTGATGCATTCTGCTTATTTTCAAGAGACAATTTTTGATAATTAACTTTCCGAATCAGAAGAGCGAGAGAGCAACAGTGACCTGAAGAGACAGCAGAGAAAAAGAGTTTTTGCGCTTCTCTGGTGTCTCTAGGGTTGTTGCTGATGTCTCGCTATCGGAATGGTTTTAAAAATTTTTTTGAAAGTTTTGGCCCTTTTTCGAGAGTCTAACAATTATGTGCCAATAATCAAAAATTTCACAAAATTTCATTTAAAAAAATAGTTGATTGTTTCTCTTGAAAGTAGTATTTTCGGAAAGTTCGCCATGGAGCGCAGAAAATCAAGCCGGTGAAGCTCTTTTGTCCACCCGAATTTCTCAATCTTTGACGATTTTTCTCCTAGTTTTCCGGTTTTTTTTCAGACTCTACCTGAAAACTGGCAACCTGGACGGGGCCATCGAAGAATTCCAACAATTGGTTCGGACAAATGCCGAAAATAAACGAGCCTGGGGCAATTTGGCCATGTGCTACTACAAAAAAGGACACTTGAGGGTTTTGAGAAAAAAGGAAACTTTCAAAAAAAAGTTTATTTTTAGGCCTCCGTCAATTCTTATGAGCATTTGTCAAAGTTGGACTCGGGAATGGGTTATAATATTCCGGTAACAAAAAGAATGGAAAATATATAAAATATATTTTTTTAGCTCATGAACATCCTCATTGAACTGGGCGATTATGAATTGGCGCTGGAAAAAGTTGGGACTTTGAACGAAGCCCAAGATCCCAAGTTCCACCTGGAAGCGGTCACGTTGGAAGCGAGAGTGAGGAAAAACAGGAAAATCTAGAAAATTCATCCATTTTTCGCGAAAATAAATGGAAATAGAGTCTTCTCATGCTTTTTTTGCTATAAAAAAGTTTCTACTTCCTTTTTTCGAGGAAGATTTTCAAGAAGTTGTTTGAACGTAAGATTCTGACTTTCAACTTAATAAATAAAAAGAAAGACGAAAGCGAGAGTAATAGTGACCTGAAGAGACAGCAGAGAAAAAGAAATTTTTGCGCTTCTCTGGCGTCTCTTCAGGTCGCAGTTGATCTCTCGCTACTATCAAAATTTTTTTAATTTTTCGATCTTTTTTATGATAATTTAAGAATTGTTAAAGACCGTGTTATCTTAAGAGAAGTAAGAGAAGTAGAGAAACGTGTCTGTCAGTTTTGCATTCTCTCTCACTCTTTAAAGTTAAAAAAATGTTGTTTTTTTGATTTTTTTGAATTGAGTATCGTGAAAAAAATAAAATTAGGGCGCTAATTTGTTAGAACAACCAAGAAAAAAATGTGAAATACAGTTTTTTTATAATTTTTTTAATTTTTTTCGAAAAAAATGTCCTAGTTTTTTTGTTGAAATTTCATGCAGAGAATCTGTCATGTAATTTTCAAAAAAATGGTTCAGATCCACCTGAGTATGATGGACACGAAACACGGGGAAGAGAGAAGGGAACACCTCAAAAAAGCTCTGAAACTCCTCGGCGAGGCGATCAACTCCAGACCGGACTTGTCTTTGATCTACAAGCTGGCTGGAGATGCCCTCATGAAGGTCTTCGAGTTCGACGAGAGGTTCTTCAAGGAGTTTGAGGTGAAGAAGAAAAGGAAAAGCTTGAATTTTGCCTAGGAAAATTAGAAAATTCAGTTTGAAAAATCCAAAATTTTCAGCTTCAATAGTAAAATTTCTGGAAAAATTCAATGAAGAGAATCACGGTTATCATTTTCCCTGTATTTAATAACAAAATAGGGATTTTTAAATTTTTTTCCACAGTGAGAACTGTCAAATTATGGATGGTATAAGGATTTTTCAACCATTTTCGAAGTAATTTTTCTTTTGATTTTTTTTAACATATAGATGAAGCTAGAATAGTGACATTTTTCAAGCATTTTTCATAAATAAATAAAAAATTTGATTTATTTTCTTTTTCTTTGATTTCTGAAAGAAATGTTCATTTTTTTCAACTTTTTCCATTTTGAGGAATTTATTGATGTTTTCGTGGATATCCAGGCTACTGTAGGTTTTCAAGAGATCTTATTTCAAGTATCTCGGGCCTACAGTACTGGCCATAAATATATGCCTATTTGGGTTTTCGGCTATAACTTCGCTTCAAAATATCCGAATTCGCTGAAAACTTAATATGTTGTGCATGAAAATGTTGCACATTGATCTAGATGGAATTTTGTGATCCTCAAAACGATTTCAAAATTTTAGCTCCCAAAAACCAAAAATGACCAATTCCTGATTTTTCAACTTTTTTTCCAAATTTTCTATAAGTTCTTTGAAACATTTTCAGAGAGCCAGAACAAGATTTTGATGAATGAGAGGTCACAGACTACTAGAAAGAAAGAAATTTGTTTACAATTGCTCATCCCAAAAAGAGAAGGATGCCGTCAAAGTAGGCGACCTCCTTCTGAACGGCATAAAAAGAAAACGGACTGAAACACGGAAAGAAAGCTACTGATCTCAAATTTTTTCCTTTTTTAACAATTAGAATGATGTTAACAGTGTATATTTCTGTGAACTGAAATATGACAATTCTTTCAGATTAATGAAGAATGGAAGGTCTCCGACCGGAATTCCTGCATCAACACGGCCATTTCCTTCTACGGAGCCGTTTTGGAAAGAAATAAAGAATCTGCCCAGGCGTGGCATGATGTGGCGGCGGCTCTCTTGACCCTATCTTCATTGAATCGAGACGGAAAGTTGATTGAAAAGTGAAAAATATTGGTGAAATTGGGTCTGAAAAAGGCGTTTCAGAGCAAAAAGCTGCCTAAAACATGCCCTACGGTTGACCAATGACCCCAAGTTTTTGGCGATTTTTTGGACTTTGATGGCGGAAGCGATTCGGTTGGAAAACGGGTCACCTGCTCGACAGGTAAGGAATAAATTTCTGAATTAAAATAATCAAGTCTTCTGCATGAAATTGAGGCGTTTTGAGGCCGGAAAATGCTTTAAACAACCAAAGAATTTTTCTCAAAATTTTCTGAATCCTTAAATTTTTTTTTGTAAGTTCGAATTGATAAGGTGGAAATAAAGTTAGATCTTTTTTTTTGACTTTAACACTATTTTTCTAGATTTTTTTGTCAAGTTTGTCTTGAGTCTGATGAAGAGAATTGTGATAGAAGGAAAGAAATATTGCAAAAGAGCAAAAAAACGGTGGGCGGAGCCAAAATATCCACCGTTCCCACGTGACGTCATGGGAACGGCAGAGATTTCGGCTTTCAGAGCGTAAAGGCGCAGTTCGCCGTATTGCCAGAGGTCTTTAAGACGAATCGAATTTTCTCTACATAAACGAAATTATCGGCATGTTCTAAAACACGAGCGGTTGTGGGGCACGAGCGGCACGACCGTTACTAAATCACGAGCGGTTTCATTTTCGCTCCTTCGCGAACGCTTCTAAATCACGAGCGTTTTTGGCTTATCGTTCTGTTCGAGCGTTTCTAAACCGCGAGCGTTTCATTTTAATCATTTTTCTTTATTACCATCCAAGTGTGTGTTTTTCATATTTCTACCTTCTTTTTTTCTCCTTGAATAAAAAGTTTTGACGATCTTATATGCACATTTTTTTCGCTCAATTTGTTGATTGATTCACATTTGAGGTTCATATAATGGATTTTTTTCTAAGTTTTTTTGCGGTCTCTATAATTTCACAGATTCTGCGTATGGCAAATTTTTTTCTAATAATTTCATCTGATTTTTCATATTCAATATTTCACAGATTTTTGCGTATAATAAACTAATATTTCACAGATGTCTCGCATGAAAGTCAATATTTCTCAAATTTTTGCGTATAGCAAATTTTTCTAATACTTTCTCTCAAAAATTTTTTTCTGGTAATAGAATCTCATATTCGAATTGATGCCATTCATATTTTATTCTCCTCTTACCCGCTAGAATAGTTTTGGAGATACTACCAAAAAAATTTATTCGTTTCCAAGCTTTGAAAATATTTATCATGAAACGATACGAAATTTACGAAGTATCAAAAAAATAAATTAATAACCGTAGCGAATGAATGAAATAAATGCCATAAGCGTCTGGTGGTTCATCGGTGAATGACAGCCGTATAACGAAACAGATTGGAAAAATGAAAATATAGAAAAAAAGGAAATCAATGTATAAATCAGAGTTTATATTAAAGAGTTCAGGTATGAAAGTTCGACAATGGAATCTGAAACATCCAAATTATATGAGAAAAAACCTCAATATACCATCCATTGGCTCCAAAAAATCATCCGGAAAATCTTCGGGCGGTGTGTAATTGCTTTTAAAAAAAACTATCAGTGAGAAGGCAGGGAAGAAACTTACGACATAGTGGGCTTCGGACGATAACCAGAAAAATGCAGCAAGCTCCCGTTGTTCCAGAAAAATGCAGCAAGCGGCCTGTTACTAAATTTTATAATTTCGTATTATAATTCCGCCCAAACAGCGCTTATAAAATGACTATACTAGCTAGATTTTTTGCAAGAAAAACACAGATGAGAATCAGAGAAAAAAAGTTCATATTTTTTTAATTTGTCATAAGCAAAAATCTGAGAAATATTGACTTTCATGCGAGACATCTGTGAAATATTAGTTTATCATACGCAAAATCTGTGAAATATTGAATATGAAAATCAGATGAAATTATTAGAAAAAAATTTGCCATACGCAGAATCTGTGAAATTATAGAGACCGCAAAAACTTAGAAAAAAATCCATTATATGAACCTCAAATGTGAATCAATCAACAAATTGAGCGAAAAAAATGTGCATATAAGATCGTCAAAAACTTTTTATTCAAGGAGAAAAAAAGAAGGTAGAAATATGAAAAAAACACACTTGGATGGTAATGAAGAAAAATGATTAAAATGAAACGCTCGCGGTTTAGAAACGCTCGAACAGAACGATAAGCCAAAAACGCTCGTGATTTAGAAGCGTTCGCGGAGGAGCGAAAATGAAACCGCTCGTGATTTAGTAACGGTCGTGCCGCTCGTGCCCCACAACCGCTCGTGTTTTAGAACATGCCGAAATTATCTGCGCGAAAGCGGCTCAGTGCATGCACACGACACACGACACTTTACGGAGAAAAAGTGGGCGTGGCGACGTCGAAAAAACGCCGTGCGTTGTTACCAAGAAAAATGTCTTGATGGTAGTTTGGAAACTTTTTGTTGGTGAAAGTTGACTATCAAGAAGACTTATGACTGGAAAAAGAGGTCTTTAATAGTTTTGAAATCCCTTTTCCGGGATTTTTTGGACTTATTCAAACACATCCTGTAGATTATAATGCTTACGCCATGAAAACAGCTTCTTTTGCATTTTTGCTCTGCGGAACTGCGAAAAACAAAGGTCTTGAAGCGAAGTATGGTCAATCTCAGAAAAAAAAAACGTGACTTTTTCGAAAATGGCTACATTTTTTCCAGCAACACTGCTTGGTCCGAGCCCTGCAGCTCTGCAAGACCCACGATCCGGCCTGGTTGCAACTCGCCGTTCTGTACTTCTCGCAGGGCGAAGTGAAAACCAAACTTCTTCCGGAATCAGTCCCCTAAATTTGAGATCGACGAGGCTCACCGAGCCTTTGAGCAGACCATCAAGCACAACCCGCAGAATGGAGCGGCTTGGTGCGGCTGGGCGATGCACGCCGAGGCGAAGATGGCCTTCCACGAGGCCCGGGCCATGTTCCGACAGGCCCTGACCATCAAACCGACGGTTCGTTTCTGAGTTAAAGCTTGATCAATAATGGGTCTTGACACGATGGTACGACAAAAACTCAAGTCCGCAAATCTCGAGGACCGTAATCTTGTGTACGCAGATCTAAAGTCCCATAATCTTGGAAACCAAAATCTTGGAAACCAAAATCTTGGAAAGCAAAAATCTTCCCTTTTAGTCTTCTTTATTGCACTTTATCTACTTATATTATCTTGTTTGGATCACCGAATACAATTTCTGATAAAATCTATTGGCAAAAGCGTTGATTTTTACTTTCCAAGATTTTGGTCTTCAAGATTTTGGTTTCCAAGATTATGGGACTTTAGATCTGCGTACACAAGATTACGGTCCTCGAGATTTGCGGACTCGAGATTTTGTCGTACCATCCTTGACACGATAAAAACTGAGATTGTGCTCGACTGGTGGAGAGCGCAGACAAGCCACGCCCCTTGAAACCTTAAGCTCAGTTTTTCCACCATATCCCTCCCTAGATGCAGAAACTTTTAGATTTTCTTACGAAAACCTTCTCTCGCCTAAAATCATTCATCAGTACTTTCTTTGAAATCCCTTCGATCCAGAATGCCGCGATCATCGGCTACGCTCAACATTTGGCAAAAAGTCTGAAGGATTCCCGTCATCGATTCGATCCGGCCACTGAAGCCATCGAATTCGAACCAATTTTGGATATTCGAGGTCTTTTTTAACCCCGAAAAAGAAAATATGAAGATATGTCAGAAAAGGCCGACTGCGATCCGAACACTCGCTACCATTTGGGCGTCCTTTGCGAACTGTTCGGGTATTTCGCCGAAGCTGTCGAATGCTTTAAAATGTCTCAAGCGCCGGCGGAAGACTTGGAACGGGCCAAAATGTGGGTTTGAGTGGGGAAAAAACTAGGAAAGTGGTAGTTTTAGTGTTTAAAAAGCTAATTCAGGCATTTTCATGATTTCTCCATAAAAATCGTTCGAAAAATCAGCATTTTAGTTTTTTTGATGTGATCTGATTTTTAAAAATTTATTTAGTTGCGTGAATTTCTAAAGGATGAGAAGCTTCTTAATCTTTTTCTAAGCAGAAGGTTTTTTCCCTCATTTTTGAAAACCGCAAAAAAATAATCAGTCAATTGCGCTCCACGGATAAAGTTTACAAAATGAGCAATTTCAAGCCAAAAAAAAAACCTTCAATCTTCTTTTTTCGTTGTAACTTCAATATTCAGTGAATTTTTCGTTCAAAATTGTAAAAACAAAAAAATGAACTGTATAAGTCTAGAACAAAAATGTTGAGCCTATACTATGTAAAAAAAATGTGATTAATATGGTCAAAAATGCGAAAAAAAACGCGCTCTCCATGGTAAAGAGAACCATTTTCCGAAATATTAAAAAAAAAAACGCGCGCTTCATTTTTCGATCTAAAAATTCATACTTTTTCGGAAGAATCGAAAAAATTCAGAAAGCTGTCGTTGATCTCCCCGACCTCTTCGACATCTCCATGTTCTGAAAGCGAAGAAAACGCGAAACTTCGAAACCTCGCCCAACTCGACGCCCCGACGATTCGTGAGCACCTCAAAACTCAGTCGCAAGTGTATGGCGATCTCTTGAAATTCATCGAAGACGGCAATGTCGTCGGATTCGGCGAATTATATTTGAAATGCTTCAAAGCCATCTCCACTCCCTTGCTCGTTTCGGCGATTATTGCTTTCAAAATGGTGGGTTTGATCTGGGTGTTATGTAAATGAGCATAAATTCATTGCTGTAGGGTTTGAAATTGCTAGGGTTATAATATGGTTTGAAATTGTTGGAGTTTTTGGCTAAATCTGAATTTTATCTTTATTGGTTAGTTTGTGTCTTATTTGTGAAGTTGGCACTTCAATCTCTCCATTTTTATAGCCTATTCACTTCCAAAATGATTCTGAAGATATCACTACAGGGATAACGAGCTGATTTTAAAATTCCATAACAAGAAAAGTGGGTTTTTCAAGGTGAAGATTGAAAAAAGGTCTGAAATTGGAATAGGGAAAGTTTGGGGATGTTTTTCTATTCCTAGGAGTGCCAGAGAGGTCCCTAGAGGGAACCTTCGAGGCCCTGAGGCTGCCCCTATAGGGATCACTTTGAAAAGTTGTGAAATTTTTGTACACCTTACTCAGTTATGACAGTTTTCACCGGAATTTGATGGATGTCAGATGAGAAAGTCAAAAAAAAAATTTCCGGTGTTTTTTGGCACAAGCTTGAAAAAATTAAGGACTCTAGCAGCTTCTCGGAGTAAAATCTAGTCTAAAGAAGGTTTGATTTTTTATGAATAAATTTTAATGATAAGGGGAACTTCAAAAAGCTTTTTCTAGGAGCTACCAGATAAAATCGTAGCAATGCTCCATGACGCCTTGCCGCGTCAAGAACTGATTGACGTTTTTCCAACCGTTCTGCCGCCTGATATGGACAATGGGCTGAGACATTTGGAGCAAGATGGAGAGGTCCCGTTCCGGTATCGGCATCGAGTTGCCAAGGTGATTTGTGAAGAAGAAAAACTGAACTTGTAGTGTATATTCTAAACTCGAATATTCGTAACTAGAGAGCGTTGCGGAACAAGAGGTCAGAGTAAAAAAAAGAACGCGTGCTCTCTTCATTTTGAACGCTCTCTAACTTTCGAAAATTTATGATTTTTTTGATTCGGTGTTTTTCCTAGGGCTTTTTCAAAAATTGTGAGTAACTAACTTTGTAATTTCCGGTTTTGAGCATGATTTTTCTTCCTTCTCTATTGAATTTTATAAGGTTTATCTGATGAAGTTCAAGTTTTTTTCTCGTTTAGGCATCTTTCTTAGAGTGTACTTCGAGAGTTTCTCAAAAAAATCGAGTGGAAATATCAACTATTAACCAAAAAAAAAAGTTAGTTTTTTGGGCGTTTTTTTCAGAAGCCGTTGTGCGTAGTTGTGCCTTTTCAGGGCGTCTTTAAGAAAATAGTGGATCGATTTTTGTTTTGGCAAGTTTTTTTTTCGGTGATTGAAATTACGAGAATCATAGTGATTGAAAAGTAGTCAATAACCAGTGATGATAAATCTTTTATGGGGATAATTTTCTTCAAGATTTTTACGTAGAAAGCAAAAAATAAGCTTCAAAGTTTTATCAAATTCTAAGCAAAAGATGAGCTTTGAAATGTTACTTATCTTGAAACCTAGGATCTGTTCGAACTGCTCAAAAATCGCCGTGAAGTTTACGAAGCTAATCGGAAACCGTCGACTCCTATTCCTGCTGATGAAAATGATGAAGTCGAGGATAATTGATCAATTTATTGCCTTTCTCATGTTATAGTTTTTATTGTTAAGAAATCTGAAAAAAATAGCTCAAGTTAACAATCAAATAGATTTTTTTGTAGCGGGTGTCAGTTATTTTTATCCATCGGTTTTGTTCTCATTTGTTATTAATAAAATGCTCCTTTTTTGGTTTTGTTTTTGTCGAGAAATCGCGTCGAAATTCACGGAAAACAGCCAATCAAGCTTGTTTTCCATTACTTCGTTGTTGAAAAATTCTGGTTATCTTCAAACTTTTCTTTGAAGAAGTTTCAATGGGCTTTTTCAGGTGTAAATTGGACCATTTTTGTTCAAAGTTTCTGCTTATTGATATTTTTTAACTTGATCACGCGGACATTGGTAACGAAAGACGGACGTGCTCCGGACGTTTCTGGGCGATTCTAGGGATCACTTAAGAGTGCTGAGGCTACTAAAGTGGTCACTAGAAATGCCCCGACACGTCCGATTCGAGTCCCGTTCGCGTTACCAAGGCCCGAGTATACTGTCGTATAGAAAAAGTCTCGTCCATTTTTCATTTTACCATCGTTTTTGATAGTTCAATAACCACTGGCTTCGGTGAGAATTTGAAAAGTTCAAAAATCAAAAAAAAAATCATCTCTAACTTCTGAAAATGAAAGAATTAAAAATGAAAGGGTTCTGCAAAATTTACACTATCCTTTTTTTCGAAAGTTGATTCAGTTATTCATTTTTTTTTTCTCTAAACCCTCCTGCTCTTGCGCAGTATTTCGCTTTAGAGCTCCTTTTCTCGAGGAAAATAACCTATTTTTTCAAGAGAAACTGGACAGAAAAAGACAAATTTCCTTGGAAAAATAAGAATTTGTTTTTTCAAACTCCATAATTTTCGTTATAAAAATTTCAGAAGTTATAAATCAAACAAATTCTTATTTTTCCAAGGAAATTTGTCTTTTTTTGTACAGAACATTAGAAAAAACCAAAAGAGAAACAAAGTCCAAACTTGAAACTTTGATCGAAAACCTCCCTAATTTATTAGGCAAGAGAAACCTCGCCCACCCAACAATTTGCATAATTCATTGCAGAGAAAGGCGTTTTTCTCCTCGCCACTGTAACCCGATCCGCCCCCGATGTGTCGCCTTTTTCGACGGGGGGAAAAGCTTGCCGTTCGGATAAGATGCCCAGGGCAAGTCTCCTTCTTTTTATTTCCTTTCTTTTCCCTTTCCAATCGCGTCATGCCGTCAGATCTCCTTTCTATTTCTATCACTTTTGGAGTGAGATCTTTGCCGATTTCCTAACTATTTAAGCTTTTCGTCTGTACTCCTCATATCATCGAAAAACCAAAGTCACTTTGAAATCGTCCTGCTAAATTTCTTCCTGCTCAGGGAAAAAGGAAGTTTTTGTTTTTGTGAACTGGGGTTTTTTCAAAGGTACTCCGTTTTTTAAAAGAGTTAGTGAAAAATAACAGGCCCTATAAGCGAAAAATTGGCTCTAGGGGGATGAAGGGGGTGAAATTCAGTCAGTCTTTATAGTGGTTTAAGGTATGACCCCTAAGCCCTTTTAATAGTCCAAATTAACAAGACAAACCTGATCAATTCATCCGCTGTCATTCAAATAATTCGCAAAAAAGTTCTTCTTCTCATAGGGTCAATAAAAATGATCACTAAGCATGTCCCCTATAGAGGTCACAAACTGAAACGCCTATAGTGACTCCTTCGTGAGCTTTATTGATGGGGGAGGTATGTAAAGTAAAAGGGGTCCAAGAGGAGAACCATCAAGGGTTTCTAACTAGGGAACTACTCGGACTCGGGTACGGGTTTCGAGTTGAAACTTAAGTGGTTTATAGACCCAAGTCAGAATACTTGAAATCAAGAGAGAATATCTGTTGAACCCGATAGAGAGCTGAGAAAAAATTAGTAGCAAGTTCGAAAATTAGGCCTGACATTTTTCAGAATACTGCTTTTTACCTTCTTTTGTATTTTAATACAATCGCCTTGAATGATCCGGCTATGATAAACTCTAAAAAACTTTTTTCCAGCCAAAAGAAGGAGAAAAGCAAAAATTCGATAATTTTCAAGCCTAAACTGTTCATGTTCAAAAATCTTTTTCTTAGTTCTCTATGGGGTTTAGCAGATAATCTCTCTTGTTTCCAAGTACTCTTACCCGGGTTTATAAGCCACCAAAGTTTCAACTCGAAAAGCCAATAATTTGGTTTCAGACGCGGTTTGATCGAAAATTTTCATTTTTGAGATCTATTAGTTTGAATTTTTTCACCACGGAAACGTACCTCGTGAGAAGAGATTTCGTAAAAACCATCGAAAGTTTGAATTGAGTCGAAACCCTTGTTTTTTAGCCAAAATTTTAGTGAGATTTACTGGTCAATCTACCATTGCACGAGATCTTCTTGTCTATTCCTCCACGACTCAAATGATGTATAACTGTATAATGTATTCTCTCAAATTCTAGATCCAAGTGAACTCGTTAGGGTTCACGCTGATCTGTCAATAAATTATTATTAAGATTGGTTGAAATTATTTTTTGTTGGTAAAAAGATTTTTGATAGTTAATTTACGAACTTCCTCAGAAAAAGTACGATTTTTCAAAAAAAAAAAAGCTTCCTCGGAAACTGAACCTTTTTTTCTGCAGCCTCATTCAACCTCAGAATGAACTGAACGAGGTGCCGAAACAATTTCCGCGAACGGCCCCCTCGAAAATTGCTACAATTATTTTTAGGGAACAAATGTTGTGTTGCGAATGGGAAATGACCGCCCTTCGCAAAAGTGTCGAGAACCAAACTCTTTTTTCCGAGTTCCATTGAAAAACCGTGTATGGAAAAACGGGCCGAGGTCGCGTTTTTTGTAGGTCATGGGGGTTTTTTGGGTTCATTTTGACACCTTTTTTTCTTCATTTTTCTTGAAATTGTCGAAAATCATGTGAGAGTTTTTTAAGGCGGGAAAAACTTGCCGGACTATCAAACACGGCTCTTCGCCTTGAGACCTTCCTAGAGATTGTCCATGCTCCTTTAAAGACCTTAGCAAGATTTTTTCAGCCTACTTTTCAATGAATCCATTATCTAAAGTAACACACCTCGAAAATCATATATTGAAGTCTTCTAAGGCTTAAAAAGCTTGCCGAACTATCAGGAACGGCTCTTCGCCTTGAGACCTTCATAGGGTTAATCGATGCTCCTTTAAAATCCTCAGCAGAATTTTTCAGCATATTTTTCAATTAATCCATTATCCAAGTAAACAGAACTCTTGTATGACGCCAAAGAACTCAGAAAAACAGGTTTCCGCGCAAGACCTTTTTCCAAAAAGTTGTCCATGCTCCTTTAAACACCCTGGTCATTTTTTCGGAACATGTAGCATTTTTCAGCTTTCATTTCTAATTTTTAAATTCGTTTTCGATAAATTTACTTTTTTTCTTCCTTATGTTTCGAGATATGCTGAGCACACAGAAAACGAAAAAATAGAAAAAAAAAAATCACTTCCTGGATTTCTTCTGCAAAGCATTCTCATCACTTGCAAGCCTGGAAAAAGTTGTCACCTGGACTTCTCTCGTAATTAATCAGACCTCAGGAATGTCGTCTGAGCTTTTTCCGGCCGTTCACACCAAAAACCATCAATCTCCGTTACACTCCCTGGACTCTTTGAAGAAAAAGATTCCAACGCTTCTCTTCCCCCGTCTATATTTCATTAAAAGCTTATTTATGCTCGTTTCTCTGGGTCTTTTTGTTATTTTGTGGGTAAATTGAGTTCTGGAGCTTCGAAAACAGTAAATAAAATGCTTTGAAGCTTCGATTTGAGAATTTTTTTATGGACCTTTCAATAGGAGAAAGAAAAATCCGGTGCCTTGTTTCTTATGTTTATATTTTGTTAAAAATCTATTCATGTTCTTTTCTTTTTTTTCGAGGTTTAAGTAAGGCTCTAGAGCTTCAAAAACAGTAAAAAGAGCAAGTTTGGTAAAATTGAGCTCTTAAAATGCGTTAAGGCTCGATAAAATTGGGAAACCTTGCGAAAAAAAACTCCGTTGTTTCTTTATTTTTGTTCATATTTCATTTTCTTGGGATTTTTTTTTTCTTTTCTGTTCATTGAGTTAAGTTGGAGCTTCGAGCTTCAGACGTAGTGGAGAAAGAGAAAAGTTCTGAAGTCATCATAGTTCAAATTTTTCAATGAATTAGGAGGATTTGAAAAAAAAATTTTTGTTCTGAAAAGATTTCTTTGGTTCTAATTTAACCGAAGAGAAAGGATCCAAAGATTCTATATTGTTTTTTTTTTCTCACTTCACCCAAAAAAATCTGCCAGTGTAATCGTAAAAATCAAAACCTTGAAACATGCCGAGAGACCCCTCTTTCAACATGTGTTTTCATGACGCAAAAACTATGAAATTTCTTCTTTTTGTTCCTTTTTTCTGTCGAAAAATAAGAATGATTGATTTTCAACGGAATATAAGCATAGTTTGGACTAACGATAGCTTGAAAATCTTGTTATTTTTTGAAGTGAACTTGTGAAAATGATCACTTAAGGCTTTTTTTAAAAGTCATTGTGGCATCTCATATCTCAGAAATGATCACATATTTAAATAAAAAAATAATTAAAAAAATAATTTTAATTAAAAAAATAATAATTTTATCTTAAAAGATGCAAGTTTTTAAAAAGGTGTTTCAGGCAGAAGAGAGTCATACCGAAAAAAAGTTTATTTTTTTCCATTTTAAATTTTTTTCAAAAAAATTTTATCTTATTATTGGTTTTTTTAAAACAGTTTATCTTATCACTATAACTATTTTTTTGAACCTTCAAGCCCTTTTACTAGTTTTTTTCTGAATTAAAACAACTTTTTCAATTTTCACACCTTTCTATCTCACTTCCAACATTCTGAACCTTTTTTTAATTCCCAAAAAAAAATTTTTAATAGTAGAATTAGGCTCAAATATCCCCCATACTTACCATTTTCAGAGAAAACCCGTTGTTTAAACAATGTTTGTTTGAGAAAACCAACAAAAAAAGGAAAGTTTCCTTGAT